CGGTAGGATGCATTCCGTCATCCGTCGGTGCACTGTATCTACCTTGTACCCCGATCCAGACCAGTCCACTGGACAGCATGGCAGCGTTGCGTATCACGACAATGGGCCTTCAGCAGCCCCGACATCGAAGAGCTTAGACGGTAACCATAACTTCCTGCATTACAAGTAAGAGTCAAGATACACAGTCACGCTACATTTACAAAAGTATATGTCGAATGGATACCAGTACAGCGAAAAGAGGGACCTTCCGGGGCCCGGCCTGCAGCCGGAGGTAGCACCCCAGAGGCGAGCGCCGATCACTCAGCCCATCTTCACCTCCTCGCCTTCTTTGCGTCTTCAGCCCCTTTAACTCCTTGCCTCCTGGCCTCACCTTTGAAGGAAAATATACGGAATACATTTCGTAGCTTCAGGGAAACGACATGCCACGGGGGCTAATCAAGTCTAAACGCGTCGCAATCGACGTAATTGGATGCCCATATTTTTCCGAGTTATGGGCATGCTCTTCGTTGGATGCTTGCGAAATACAGGAAATGCGCAGCGATAGGATCGGGGGGGGGCAAGAAAGTAGACTATGAGGATCTTTGCCCAAAAGAGGCATATTCCTCTTGTCATCAGGGTGTCATATTGTTGAGAGCTGATCTCGGGTCCCGTGAGATTTGCGTCACGTCCTACTTCGCCTTGTCCCTCGCCTCTGTATGCACACGCGCATTCAACACGGACATCGATCGCATGATACCGTTAAGACTTTGACTGTCTGTTCATGCTCATCCAAGACAAAGGAATGCGACAAACCGCAGTCATGTCGAGCGACCACAGTATTCAGATGGCTACCAGGTCGTCATGTTGAGCATGCCATCCATCAGTAAGCTTGCAAGCCTACCTCTCCGCCAGCGCCGTGTCCTGTCTTACATCGCTGTGGTCGCGTATTTGGACGCCTTACAGAGACATTTGTTGCCGTTCGCTGGCATTCACCAGCATCGGGTGATGTTTAATTCCCCAGCGCAATCGCCGCATTATACCAGGTGACTTCAGCGCCATTATTGCGTTACGTGAGTCTCCGTGTGCCCGTTTGCAGTTGTTACTCGGAGGACGATATGCCGTCTCGTACCTTGTCGAATCAAGACAGCCGTGGAAGGTAGCAGGGCTTGTCACGCATAGTGCAATCCGTGACTCCGCATCGTGAGACGTATTGTTCACCTTTCACTCTTTTGACTATCAATACAAATAAAGTTTTCCTCCAGCATGCCTTTGAGGCTGTTAGGGCATCTATTTCAGTCCCTCGAGAAGGTTCTCCAGTGTTTTCCATCCATCGCTGCCTTCCCACCGCTCCTTGCCCTTGCCCATTACGCTGCGCAGAGCACTCCGCGCCTTCATCTTCCACCGTGAGCCAACTGTAGCAGCATCGGGTCCGTAATTCTCCAGTATCGATACAAGCTCATCCGTGCGGGCCACAACGTTGTCCCACGCATCGCTGTTTTCAAGCCAGTTGCGCTTCTCTTCATCGCTGACTTCGCCCGGTTTGGTCTCGGTCATCGTCGAGCCGAGCGCACCGCTGTTGGCACCGCCAACAGCCGCACGCCAGCCCTTTTCGGCTGCATCGATGGCACCTGCGTAGTCGCCGCGCCACACACGTTCTCGAGCGACGAGCTCCCACAGCTCACTTCGCTTCGTAATCATAGGCACAAAAATGTTCTCGACCAGGTCGCAAACGGCCTTCTCTTGCGAACCCCGAGGCGGCACACCGCCGACCGGCTTGGGTTTGCTCAGTACTGACTCATTCAGCAACAGGCGCACAACACCAATGTCGATGGCTTCTTCCGTACTGCGTACGGTCAGGATGTTTCGCATGGCCAGAGTAATATCGCTGACTACCGGTGGCCGCACACGGGATGCAAGCGTCACAACATTGTCCCAAATTCTCCAGTTGTCATGTGAGATCGTGGCGCCACGCTTAAAAGCCGCCAGAGACTGTGTCAGCAGTTTCGCAGGGTCTCTCTTGGCCATCGCGGCAGCATTTTCGGCTGCTTCTGGCTCATTGTTTCCGTCCTCGACATCACTATCATCCGCCGCTGAGAAAGGGGGCGCTGCGTCGTCCTGGTCAGCGCTCTCCTTCTTACGCGTGGTTTCGTCCCGGCGCTCTTTCATAGTCTGCGTGTACAGGCTGTAAAGGGCACTACCCAAGTTACTCCACGTCCGCGCATCCTCGCCTCCAGCAGCGTCACTCGCCGCACCAATGGCGCGGCTGAAAGCCTCGGCAGCCTCAGAGAATAAGCCTAAGCGAAGATTGATGTCGCCCAGTCGGCTCCAATACTGCGAGTTCAGACGGTTCGCCGACACGGCCTTTTTATATGCATCAAGCGCCTTCTCCCACTCTTGCAGCTGTAGGTAGTGCTCGCCAAGAGAGTGCTGCGCTCGCGAGTATCGGCCGTTCGACAAATCCCATGCCCTCTCGTAATATTTGGGTTCGTTCTCGATCTCTCCCAGGATACAGAAGAGTCGGGGAGCGTTAGCAGGCGGAGGATCGCGCTCGGGGCCGTCAAAATCGGAACCATTCAAAGACATAACGTCCAATTCAGCTCCGTCCTCACCACTCCCTGGTTCCAAAGAAGGGTCCGATGCCTGGAACAGCTTCCACCGGAGTAGGCCCCGTGCCTTCTGTTCGCCACCGGTACCACGACCGTTTCCATCATCGATAGCAGAGCTGCTCGCAAGACAGAGAGCGACCTCTGCCCAAAGCCGCAGTCGTTTGAAAATTTCAAGCGCGGAGATGAGGGAGCCGACACTTGCCCAGGCAAAGGCCAGCTCCGCTTCTAGATGCCACTTCGGGGGCGTAGCAAGCGCGTGGATATATCGTAGTCGGATCTGAGGTGGTGCCTTTTCACTTGGCTTGGGTGCTGGGAAAAATGACGTGGGCAGGTCGGCTTGTTTGTCGACTTCCTTTGCTTCGCCTGGCGCCGTTACTTTGATAGCCGGTATTGCGTTCCCGCCATCATCGTCATCAGTGATCTCTGTTACTACCCCAGTCTGGGTCTTTGTAGCGTCTGTGACTCCTGTGACCTCTGCCGCTGTTGTGTCTACAACTACCTGGTCGACCATGGCCTGCATCTGAAGCACTCCTCGCTCGACCGTGCGACTGCGGTGGAGCTCGATCCGCGAGCGCACGATCAAAGCTTGGGAGTAAATCTGCCAGTTTGTCGACTTATCGGCAAGAACACGCGATGCGTATGGTAAAATCTCCTCCAGCGTGAGAGCGTCGGCCGGAGAGAAAGCATCTTTAAGAGTGGCGACACTGAGGAGGATGATTTGGTCTAGTGGTGACAGCTGCGGTTGATCATCAGGAGAGAGGTCTCGCAGCGAGGCCGGGATCGCGTTGACGGGGGATGGCGCTTGGTCTTGCGCGTTATCCACGTCTTTTTCGGCTGTTTTGGACAGGGCCATTCTCGCATCCGTAAAGTCAATGTTCTCCAACAGCGTGTCGTTGTTCAACGGCAGTGCTTGGGGAACAGCTGCTACCGCCATGTCCTCAGCCCCGTCTGCCACGGTGCCCGAAATACCTGGCCCGTTCGACTGGCTCATAGACGACTCCGATACAATCGTGCTTTTGGCGAGAATCACCAACTGGCTGGTGCTCGTTTCTTGGAAGCGGGTCCGCTTGCCCAACGCGCCAGACAAGACGTACTCGAAATGATCCAATGTTGACGCGGCGTCAAGAGCGGCCTGCGCCTTGGCATCCAGACCAATCATAGCGTAGATAGTGGTTTTTTCGATCAAGAACTGGACTTGGTCCTGTTGTCTATAGGCTGTGCCCTTCGTGTTGATTTGCTGCTCAGTTTCGTCAAGACACCGCTGTATCTGCTCTTGTAGAGTAGGCAGGTCGTTCCACTGTGTCATCTTGTTAAAAACTGAACCCGGCCCGGGGTTTGGTTCCGTCAGAAGCTTATAGTGCCACACATGAATGCGAAGCTTCAACCATGCCAGGGTACATTCTGCCGGGTCTGCATCCACCCCATCTCGAGCATCAGTGACCAGAGAGCTGAAGCTAGCTTCGGCGAAATGCACGAGAAACACCCATCGTGCCAGGCAAAACAACTCAATATGTGGAATGTAAGGGTACACAGAAACACCATCAATGTCCAGGCTTTGTAAACAGGCCCGTCTCAACGACAGTGGTACGTTTTCCGGCTGTTCGAATTGTGCGAGCAGCTCCTGTACTTGCTCGGACAATTCCAGAACAGGTCCAGTCACGTTGACCTGCAAAAAGGCGTTAAAAGCCGCCAGGCCAACAGGCAGCGCAACGTCGGTACTTCTTGTCAGTCCATCTTTCGTAGTATTCGACTCTACTGGCCCCCCTTTCAAAGTGTCGTTGGCAAATGTCTTAACAAAACCGTAAGCATCGCTGTGCGTAAGGACCTGTGCGTATCGACCCCTCCGTAAAAGAGCACCCAGCTCCATGTTTTGCCGATATCGCGGTAGATCACTTGGCGTGCCTTTAAAATGTATTAAACTCGATGTTGTGGTGACTTGTTGCCCTCGCAGTCCGTCGTGCCCGGTACAAACTGGTACGCGAATGCATCGCTTTTTGGGCGTCGTGACGTGAAAGTGAAAGTGGGATGTCTGTCTGGAACAGACTTTTTTTAAGTGGCGGATAATATCGGCGATAAGATAAGAGGGCCAACGACCGTACATTGCCATCCCAAAGTTAGCTCAGCATTTCATCCTCATTTTTGTGGATTGTACAACATATAACCATTTCATACAGAGGCTTGCTCACTTCGACTTGTTTTCAAAGCATCAACCCAAAAAACATAAATCTCAGGTAAGCAGGATTTTGTTGAACTCGAAATTCATTTATTAAATATGCGAAAACGGAAACGGTCTCAAAAGTCGAACTGCGAACTACCAAAACCAGCGTCTACAGAATTACAACGAAAATAAAGCCTTGTCCAATTCTTGCAACAATTTAAGCCAATTGCAGGACCTTCTTCGAACAAAGGATACGTCTATTTTTTGCCCTTCTTGCGGCTGGAGACAACTTTAAAGCCAGCAGGCATGCTCTCCTCCTTCGGGGCACCAGTGTTTCCGCCCTTCTTAGCAACCTCACTCCAGCCTCCACCGATCTTAACTTCTTCGGTAGACGCGGGAGCCTGCTTCTCAACGACACCTCTTTCCGCGAGTTTCTTGCGACGAATAAATTCTTCGGCAAAATGACGACCGTCCATGGTCTTAGAGTTTCCATACACAGCCTCAGAGATAATTGACTGATCCAGGGGAAGCTGCAGAAGCGTGTCGACAAACATGTTCACTGAAGCAAAGGTAGATATATATTAGCATTTTCACGTCCATGTGTAGACAAGAGATAATAGGGCGGTGAGAGAAGCAAAAGAATAAAGACAACGAAGGGGGAGACACTTCACTTACCATCAATGTCGTCAGCAAGTCCACGGCTCACCTCGCGGTGGAGCCACTTGTTGAACTCGTCCATCGCAACGCCACCCTCGGCCTTCCCGGGGGCGCCAGGAAGCTGTTTCGAAGACGAGCGTGCACTAGCCGGAACGACAGGTGGTTTGGCGGCTGCCATGGCAGCGCTCGCACTTCGAACAGAAGGTGCAGCTGTGGGTGTCTTGACCTTACCGCCCGCACCAACAGTTGCCCAACCCGTAGCGGCAACAGGAGAAGCAATTGTAGCAATGGGACTTGCTACCGCAGGCGGCTGGCCACGGCTCGCAAGATCTGCGTAACGCTTACCAACGAACGGCGATGAGGCAAGAGGAGATTGGGAAGACAGCTCTCTAGTCTTCTGCTTCCGGGCTTCCTCCTCACGCTGAATATCCGCCAGTGTCTTCTTCTTATCGACAGCGCTATAGGCAACGCCACCGGTAACAGCGCTTGCGATGCTGGGCTTCGCATTGGATGCCTTAGCCCACGGGCTGGTAGGGGCGGCAACAGAGACAGCCGGTGTACCGTTGCCCCACGTGGAGGACGTCGGCAGACCAGGCGTCAAAGCTGCAACAGCCTTTTCGCGCTCTCGTTGGAGCGCGGCCTCTTGAACAGCGGCAACCTTTCGTGCCGCAGCGGCTATCTCCTCCGCCTTAGCAGCCTTCTTAGCTTCCGCCTCCTGGATCTCCTTCAGGCTAGGCCCTCTATGGCTTTCTGAGCCCGGGTCGCGTGCCCAAGGCGCCAGTGGGGGTTGTTGAGTAGTACCATGTGCACCACCTTCGGGGGTCTCCGAGCGAGACTGGCTGGTCGCATATTGGTCGGGGAGCGTGGAACGCGTTCGCTGGGCCGTGGGAGCAGCCAGGGGTGTGCTGGACAGGGCACCTGGAGGAGGCGGGAATGGCATAGGAAGGTCAGGCTTGAGAGCTTCGGCCACGTCGCCAGCCTGTGTTTCTCGAAGCTGAGCCGCCGCTGCTTCCGCCTGGGTTTTTTTAACTTGTTGTGTCAAAGATAGAGACACAAGAGATTCAGACGCCTCGCCAACAGCCGCAAACGTGCCATTATCACCCTGTAGCCGACGCTCCGAGGCAACTTCGTCGACAACGTCAGCAGCAGTAGCCTGTTGCTTGCCGTGCGTAAATGTCGTAGTTAAGGATAATTCGGCTGCAAGATTCCCAGCTTCCGTAGCATCAAACTGCTCGCGATATTGCTTGAATTCTTTCAGCCGTTCACTAAATCCTTGCGGGTCTTTTTGCAGCTGGTCAATACTTGGTAGGTGGCCCAGGGTTCCATGGTCAGGTGCAAGTCCGGAAGATTGCTGGGGAGGGAAATTTCCAGCAGTATTGAGGGATGGGAGAATGCCCGAAAGCATCTGGCGATCTTGGAGATTGTAATCGTCACGGAGAAACTCTGTGCTAGCGGTGGTAAGGGATTGCGTAGTCGTAGGCAACCCCGAGTGATCAAAAAAACCTGGCGTGACACCAATATGTCCACTAATTGGTGGAGGAACAACGGCAAGCGGAGATGTCATGCTGCCAAAGCTAGGCTGGCTTTGGAGGCTATGGGCACTCGAATGGTGGTGTAGTGCACCTCCCGGAGCACCAACGGCGCCTGTGCGAGCAGCTGAAAAAGAAGGGTGGTGCGCAGATAGCATTTCACGTTGACGAGCAAGCACATACTGCTCTTCCTGCTTGCGGCGCTCAAGATTATTTTGCTCTTCCGCAGTCAAAGTTCGGCCGTAACTGGGAAACGCTCCAACGAGAGGGGGGATGACTGTGCCACGGTCACCATGAGCAAATGTACCACTCAAGGAAGGTTGGCCATGGGCAACACCGATTTGAGGAACAAGGAACGGCTCTCGAGAGTTTCCTATGCGCCGAATAAGCTGTCCCAGAGGTTCAAATTCGGTGTCCTCCACCTTTCTAACCCGCAAGTCAGGTGTGAAAAAGTTCGCTTTGTACCAGTCGTTCATCTCCAGGCCTGTGAATGGTCCCTGGGTCTGGCCTTGGGGGTCAAGATAAACCCAGCGCATACGATCAGGCATTACCATAGTGCGAGGTGCGTTCAGCGGGGTGTCAGCATTGGGGCGGGTGGCAGACTCGAAATGTTGCGGCAGCGGTGACGAGTCAGAGGCCAAAATGGCCGATTGTGACGCCTGTTCAGTGGTGAAAATACCGGCAGGACCAACTCTTGTAGGATCCATTGAATCATCAAACAATCCACGACCAGGTCGGATACCAGCTACGTCAGCATCCCTTACCTGGGAACCGATGGCCTCGCGGCCGATAGCTCCAAGAGGATTAATTTGACGCAGGTCCGGTATGGAGTCTCCTAAACCGTTGCCTTCTTGGTCTTGGCTAGTTGACATCTGCGCCTGCATGCTCGCTGGGAATAAGGCACCCAGCTTGCTAGTACTGGTACGGAGAGAACCAGTGCCGCTAGCGCCAGGAGCGCCGAAAACACCGCCGCTAGGACCGACGCCGCTAAAACCGGGCGACTGAAGTTCACCAGTGCCGGGGCTGAACAACGAGCTTCCAAAAGCGGTTGAGAATACGGCGCGGTCGCGATCTGGGGTGCTCGAGGTAAGAGGATTGCCCCAGCCAGCAATGTTGCCTAATCCAGAAAACCCCTTGGCTCCAACACTCGATGTCTGGCTTCTGTCACTACCATCTAAATTCACGCTTGGATATCCGCCACGCCCGGGCCCAAAGATGGCGGCATGGTCGACGCCAGCACTAGCACCGACCGCTCCAGTCATGGGAGCACTATCGCCGCTACCAAGGCCGCCACTATTACGGTCCGTCGGAGGGCTGCGGAAAGGATTCGTCTCTGGGCTGCCAGGAAAATCCTCGTCAAGCGAAGAGCCGATGGTCAGACCAGACATGCCCAAGTCACCCCGGGCGTTCTTAACGGGGGTGTCAGCAGACTCGGGATTCTGCGAAGCAAAATTGGACTGCCCGCCGTCCTCGCCAAAAGGATCAGTATCTGTCCGCGGCCGAGCGCGCCAAGAATCCTTTGGGTCCTCCCCGGAGGCAGTAGCAGTACCGACAGGGGTAGTAACAATGGCACTAGTACCAGAGCCAGCCGTCCTTGTGCCCGTTGTAGTCGTATCAGCACCATCTTGCTTGGGAATCAAGTGCGCTAGGCGGCTCTCACCGCGCGCACTGCCGAAGCGTTTGTCCCCTGTGGCAGCAGGCAAAGCAAAGCTGCCAAAAGTCCCGGCGGCGGGTGCGGGTGCCGACCCGGAAGGGCCCCAGAGAGCTGAGGCGCCTGAACCCAACGCACTCCCAGCCATGTTGCTACGATTGAGAGTTCCGGCGTTCAACACCCGAGCAGCAACCGGTCCTGGGATCTCCTCTGGCACTTCAGTCTGCTGTACCAGTTGCTGTGGTTCTTTAGCATCGGCAGTTTTTCGACCAAACCAAGATGACTCCTCTCGAGGCGTGCGATTGGCAAGGGGAGAAGTCAAGCCACCGGTGGGAAGAGAGTTAGTGTCGGATGCCTCCCGGCGGCGCGTCGTCGGGCGGGGTGACGAAATCGAGGTTGTTGTGTTGCTAGTGTTGTTGTTGCTGCTGTTGTTGCTAAAACCGGTGCCGTGGGAGATGGACGTCTTACGGCCGTTCGGGGCACTCACAGTATTACCGCCTCCGCCGCCAATCTGATTGCTGTCTTTTGGCTGCTGTGGTTTCAGAGTCGAGTTGACGTCAACAAACGCCTCCTTCTCGTCCTCAGTCATTTCCTGCAAGGCCATGGGTGTGACACCACCAGTAGCATCCCAACAGACAGTAGGGTCTTGCGGGACAGTGCCATCTGAGCTCTTTCCCCAGCTTCTCGCCGCCCCGTTGATCTGCGTGGTGTTCCAACCCTCAACCAGCAGGTTATTGACATCTACTAAACCAGGCTGTGTCCCTTTAAAAATATCCACAATTTGGTCACGCGAATAGCGCATAGATCCGTCATAAGGCGGCAGGCTCTGCTGAGCAGCTTGAGATTCGGTCAAAGATGGTAGTGCAGGCGCAGAGGTATCGGGCGCAGCTTGAGATTCCTGGTTAACAACGGCGGCAGAGGGACGGCGGAAAGTCAGGGTGCCGTTGGCAGAGCGCCCATCTCGACGAGGCCTGAACTAAGTTAGCATATCAGGGAAGTAAATTGGAAACAGCGGCAAAGCTTGAAGGAAAATCCAACAGCGTTTGGAAATGTCAAAAGGAGATTAGGATGGGGGCGCACCAATCGCCTTCACCAGGCCGGGACCCTCTCGACTGGCCAGCCGCCGCTGACGCGAAGCTCGCAGGCGTATTGGAAGACATTTTGAGTTTGCTCGTGGAAAACTGTTGGCGACGCTCAAATCGTTTAGGATCAGGATTCGAAGCTGAAGTAGCGGACGTGCTCTATGCAAGCTCTGCAGGAAGCCCAAAAAAAAAGGTGGGAGGAAATGCGCAAGGCGTGTTGAGATTTGTTGGGTGCGAAGTATGTTGCGCGTCCGGTGCTTTTACTTCAGATAACGACGGTGACTGGTATGCTCGATAATTGCAGTCAAGTACGAGTCCGACACGCGATCACTTGAAGTACAAATGCGAAGATGTGGTGAAGTTTGGTAAGGGAGAATGGGTGGCGAAAATCGACTAAAAAAGAGATTCCGTGTCGTTGTTGCTGCAAAGCTGGCTGCAATAAATCAAGATAGTCTTCGAGGTTAGCGGCGATAGCAAAGCCTGTTGTTGGAGATGGTGAAGATGTTGATGGCTATGGGTTGAAACAGGTAAGAAAATGAGACGTTTGGAGGTTGTAGAGGACGAGGGAGCTTCGGCGTCCGCTGCTTCGAGTTTTTTCCGTCGAGCGTCCACCACACAGAGTCTATTAGCGTGCAGCTTTCTCCATCCACAAAATTGCGTGTTCCATAGCTACGTAGTACTGGTTCCTGGCACGTGCGGAAGATCGCATGTTAAATCACGTGTTTATATGCACGTGAGCCAGCAGCGCCAGGTCGACACCCATTACGCACGAAATACGGGTATTGTTGACCTGCCAAAACTTACCCAAAAAAGGAGGAACGATGAGTGCGTGAGTTTTTGAGCGATAGAGGTGAAAGGCCTCCAAGTTTCCGGTTGACCAAAGGGCCCTTTATCAGAGAGTGCGTGAAGAAGATGTGAACGCGGTGTACATCGTATGCCAATCAGCCTTGAGCTTCACCACATGCACCTGTCAAGTGATGCGCCCGCTGTGCACTTCGACAACACGCACACACCTACACCTTTATTAAACTCACCCGTAATACTTTGTCCTTCTTTCGTTGGTTGCTCACCTACGGTTCCATCCCGAGATTAATCTTCGTTTGGCGTTGTCTTTCACCAAACAGGCCATTCTTTCGAACCATTTTTCTCATGTTTGACACCTACCATTTCGGACTCACATCTTCCTTCTTCTATTTTAAAATAGCCCCCAATAGGCTGCTGAGAACTTGCAGTAGTTCCTCTGTTTTTATCACCACTTCATTCTCACAACGCGGAGCTCAGAGCCTCCCTCTGTTGTTTTCTTTCCTTACATCGCCAGACGGAGACACAACCTGCGAAAAGCTTATCTTCTGGAAAAACTGCAATGCCCCTGGCTAAGTTAGAGAAGGGCGAGAAGCCCAGTGGTAGTGTTGTTGACAACACAGGCGATTCCAAGCCAACGCTGTCTCTGCGCGATCAGGAAATTCTGATGGCCGCGTGGTTGTCCATCAAAGGAGCTGAGCCGCAAGTAAGGATTATTTCGCAGTCCAACTTTTTTATCTCCCACCCTTATATCGCTTATAAAGGATAAAATACTAAAATCTAATTGTCATCAAAACAAGTGGACTACGAAAAGCTGGCCAAGATTCTCGGGCTCAAGAACGCTCACTGCGCAAACACCATCTTTTACAACGTCAGAAAGAAGGTCAAGGCGTATCACAACTGCACAGGTGACGCCAGTGACGTACAGTCTGCCCTGGCCTCGCCAAAGACACCGACTCCCCAGAAAAGGGCTGCGGCCAAGGGTTCCCAGACGCCCAGGTCAGGGAGAGCAGCGAAGCGTCCAAAAATTGAGACAGAAGCACCTCTCAAAGACGAGCAAGATGGTAGTGTCTAATGTCCATAGGCTCACTAGGTAGTGGAAAGCATGTGGATCGCTTCCAAGCTAGGGGCATAGCAGCGCATCAATTGCATGAGAAGATGATTGTCGACTCTACACGGCGTCGAGGACAGATAACCGAGGTAGATAACAACCAAAAAATAGCAGTCAAATGGGACTCCCTCTCTGTAAATCAAGTATATGTCTGCGAGACACAATCTGACATGCTGTATTATACTTGGCGATGGGGGGACAAAGTAACTGGAAAGTGAAAAGAGAATGAGGTAAGGCCGATATGGCGTGAAATATATTCACGTGGATCTGATCTGAGGACATCGTGCGTCCAGTTCCCTAACTCACAGTCAACTCCTCACGTCTCCCGGTTTCGTCGCATCATTCCTCCCTGGCCGCTCTCCTTCGTCTCTTTACTTTCATTTACCGGTTTCGATGCACGACCTTTCCCTTCTGCTCCAACTAAACACTTTCCACGAAACACGAAATCTGCTCGTCTGCTATTTATCAATTTCTATCAGTACCATTTTGATACTCTCTCGAAAATGGCATCATCGAATGAAAAAGCCATCAAGTCGCTGTCCGAGGCTGGACTTTCGGACAAAGAGCTGAAAAACATTGCTGCCGCCTGGCTCTCTTGCCCCTCAGGTGATAATGCAAGTTGCCTTGTCATGTCCACCTACCATCTTTTATTTTGTCCTCTCTTCTAACGCTCTTTTAAGCTGGACATGGAGAAATTTACCGTTTTGGCGGGCTACTCCACAGTGCTCAACGCTCGCAAGCGTTTCGGTGAGGTCAAGAAGCGCGTCCGCTCTATCGTCTTTAGCCCGGACCCAAGCAAGGACGATGCTCACAAAAGCGAGTGCGCCGTCGGCGAGTCTGGTGACAATTTGACCACAATGCCTATGAAGGGGCCGAAGAAAACTGCCAAGTCTGGTACAAAGCGTAAGGGGGCTGGGATCACTGGAACAGGTGGCCCGGCTGCAAAGAAGGGCAAGGTTGGCGCAAAGAAACACTCGGGGGGAACTGGGGCCCTTGGAATTGCACAAGATCCGGTTCTGGCGAGTGACGAGGGTGTTAAGGGCCGGAGCTTGAAGCAAGAAGCCAGTAACGATGACAGGGTTTGAGAAGGGATCACAGTCCTAAAGAGCCCGATGCTGGCGCATGTGCAGGAAACAATATCATAGTTAAAGTCCAGGGTTTACTTTCAATTTTCTGTGTGAATTTACCCTGTTCTCTGAATGGAAAACTTTAATTTCTGTTTTATTTTAAAATATTTTACTTTGTTTACAAAGTAAAATCCATCGCATTATCAATACATCAAGTTCCAAAATTCCACCAGTGGCCTTTACACAACGCACATGACTTGATCTTTATCAAAACAATAACAGGGTGGGTGTGCTTATCCCAAACATTTATTTTGCACCGACTCATGACACGCACCTACACACAGGCGGAAGCGGAACACGATTGCGCTCATATCCCTTGCGATTTGTTGCTGCATCGCTGTCAGTTCACTCTGACAGACAGACCAGTGCCGATTAACAAATATGCATCCAGCTACCTGATCCATAGCCAGCTTTCACTTCGCCATCTTCTCCGCAACTTCACCGCGCTGCAATAAACCCTCCTCAGTACTTCAAGTTCTTAAACCCAACTTTATTTACAACTGCGCGACCTCACAACACGCCGTACAGGCAAAACAGTCATTTGACCTTTTAAATGGCTACCAAAACGTCACTCGCCCCGATCGCAAAGGCAGGCCTCAGCGAACGGGAGCTCCTAATGGTAGCTGCTGCATTTTCCAGTCTAAAGAATGGTGATATTGCGGTAAGACCGGTCTGAGTCCATGTTGGCATCATTCGTTACCTGCGATCCGGCTTTAGTATCTCGATGGTTGGCCACTACGTTGACTGCCGTGCTAACACGGGGCTGGCGCTATAGATCGATTGGGACAAATTCACGCTTCTGGCAGGTTATGGCAGCACCAATTCGGCCCGAGTCTGTTTCCGTCCCTTGCAAAAGAAACTCAAGGCATTCGTGGGCAGCAGTGAGCTCGGCGAAGCTCTTACCAGCTCAAAGGCATCAACAGCTAAAGTTGATGAGAAAAAGCCTGCCGCGCCTAGTGCTCCGACCAGAGGCCGGCCGAAGAAAAGAAAGCTGGAGGATCAGGAGGGCAATGGGTGCAAACTACCCAGTCTCACTGTGAAGCAAGAAGCTTCGGACGACCAGGGCAAAGAAGAGCTTCCGCACGGGGCAGCAGCGACGACTCCTCCAAAGACACCAGGGCAACAGTGCCAGAGAATTAAGTTGGAGGAAATGCTACACGATCGGGCGGCAGAGCTGGGTGGACAGGTAGCCGCCCCAGAGCAGCCACTCGCTAGGCTAGGCAACCTCGCAAGCATGGACGTGCTCCCTGCTGTCGGAGGATTCCAGGCCGCCGAAGGCTCTCGGGATTACCAAGAGTTCTTCTGTTCATGTGACGAGGAGAAAGACCTTGACTTTGGCGAGTACGTCCACAAAAGTGATCAAGGTGAACGATGTGTGAGTCTTATGGCAGTTAACAATACTTTTAGGGTTTAAACGTTACAATCGGCATCGAATCGTGAGGTATTATTACATTCCCATCGATGGTAACCCAAAGCCAAGTAGATCGATTAGCCTAGGTACAGCCTAGTAACCAGGATGGTGGCCGTTTAGAAAGGCGGTGGTTGGTGATAGGCATCTCCTTTTTCTGCTTTTATTTCGTGGTCCAACGACGACAACGCATGTCGGAACGCGTTCTAGGGGTGAAGAGCGTATTTTGTTTCCTTCCTTGAATGTGGCACATGTGAGGAATGAAGGGTAGTAGATGTGGTTTCTCCATAGGGAGGTTCTATGCCCCTGGGAAAGGATTTCCGTGTGTTTCTGAAGGTATATTCGTAAGGGTTAATAACATCCACTTCTCAATCAAGCGTATCGAAATGGGGGGAAAATACGTTGTACGCCTGCTGTTTTTGCGGGTATATTTGTGACCTTCGTTTGGCCATACAGGTAGAAACAATGAGCCTTCTTGGTCCGCGCAAGTTTACAGCGTGGAGTGAATTGTATGCAAGACGGTGTATGGCGAGTGGGAATACGTGGTTCCTTTGATCGCCGTATAATTCAGTGTTGAAATTTGGATTCTTTTTGCAGAGGTAGTGTTAGATCATGGTTGCGCCTGAATGTTGGGAAGGGGCAAGTGCCTGTGCAGTAAAATCTATTGGATATCGAACCGGACGAAAGGAGTTCGAAAGGAACACCCCCCCCCCAAAATAAACAATCATAAAAAGAGATACAAGATTACACAGTATCACAGTATGTGTAGCTTATCTGCATGGAAGCTGAAACGGTTGTAGAAATAATACACAAGTATACATTTTCGAAAAAAAAAAATACATTAAAAAGCATGGAGATTAGGAAATACAACGGAGGGGTGGTCCCTTTCCCTGCCAAAGGCCTCATTCTGCGGCGAACTCTTCCTATCTCACATGCCACATCGGCGTATACGGTCGTAACCAGGAAAGTACCGGCACACTGCTGCATTTCGTCGAGCCACCACAAGACAAATTACGTTCTGACGCGTGACACATATCTGGCGGCGCCCACTTCGTCAAGCATCACAGCACTATGCAAAGGGAACCCGGCCACTCTCAATTACCCCAACAGGCGGCGCCATTGATGTTCCCATGTTCCCAGCACAAAGTATACCTAAAGATCACCAGACGCACGGTGAACAAAGCATGCCAAGATAAAAGAGGGCTTAAAATATCCGCTACAGGGAAAACCCCTAAAAGAAAAGGGTGGGCGACTCGAGTATCACTCTTGATACGCCGTGGTCCGGTGGTCTTACCAAGGCATCCGTCGTCCGATGGCCTCGTCGACGTGTATCAACGCTTTGGTGGCCTTTGTCCCGGACAGTTTTTGGCCACTTACTACGACTCCACGGTGGGTAGCTGGAAGTTCCTGCCGTATGACGGCTTTCAACAGGGCACGGCCGGCCAACCGATTGCGGTGGCCGTGGACGTCCTGTCGGTCAACTCATTGGCCGCTTTGGATCCGAGTACGTATTGTATACCACTGCCTCAAAACGCTGGGATGCAGACAATTAACGCGCCCTTGTTAGATACCCATACAACTGCCGCCTGTACCGCGTAACTACGCCGATGGAAATCTCGGGGCCCATTGGTCGATTGTTCGGGCGGCCGGGCCAAGGCGGGCCGGTACAAGATGAACGACACGATACAGTCGCTCATTTATGACGGCCTCCTGGAGAGGTCGAATTTGACTGCTCTTGGTTGGAAGCGAAGGGCAACGAGAGGGGGATCGCGTATGAACAATTATTTTGGTGAACCAACAAGTGTGGGATTTAGAAATCTGTGGGCAAGGGTAATTTGTCGCCTGCGCAAACAGAAACGATAGACATTTGATTAGGTTATTCGCTGCAGTTCTTTTTGTAAGTGGCCGCATCAAAAAGTGATCAAAGCAGGAATGGGAAGCCGGCGCTACCATGCGAAAGTGAACAACATACTCAACGTTTTACTTCGCAAAAAAAAAATGCAATGCAATGACAGTGACCACAGTATTGTCTCTGAAACTGAATCGACTCCGTACCTTTACGCCGAGGGAGGTCGTATTCCAAGCTCGCTTCCCTCTTCCACCTCGGTCATCTTCAGGGCCTCTTCCACATCGTCCACGTAGTGTGTCTCTCCGCCAATAAGATCTACAATGCCAGAAAGCTCCATTTGCTGCCAGACGTCGTGTGCTTTGTCAGGTCCCCGGCTGAAAAACACCCGCACGCCCCGGTCGCGGTAGGCACGGACGATTTCTTCTAGGACCTGCGTACCGGAGCCGTCCATGCTCGTAACACCGTGGATGTCAAAAATCACATTGCGGTTGTGTTCTTCTCTCCGAAGCCGAGGAAGAGCTGGATGTGCCTTGCTCGTGCCGTAGAGTTCCAGCCTCCGTAAACGCGTTTTCAGCTCCCCGGTATTGGCAAACGTGAGGGGCTCAGGGATTTTAACAATGAGACATCCCTCAATAAACTCCAGTCGCTCCGGGTGATCTTCGGCGTTTTCAAAGCGCTGAGTTCCCGGGATGCGCCCAAGGATTTGGATGCGTGGGCGAGTTGCGTGACGGATCACCTGCAAAAGGGACAGACCGATACCAATGGCAATACCTAGGTTGAGTGAGTAGAAGATCGTGGCAAGCACAATAATAAACATGAGTCCTATTTCGGGCCACGCATGAATACGGAGGAAAAACGAGATGTCCGAGGGAGCCTCTTCAATCAAAGACCACGCGACCACACTGATCATGGAGCAAAGTACTGGTTTCTAAGGCAGAAAGTAAGTCAATTGGTCCAGAGCCAACAGAGCTTTCGTAACCAAGAAGAGTAAGAAGTAATGACTCACTGGAAGATAATAGAAGTATGGGAGGAGGAACAGGATAGACACGAGAGAGATCAAGCTGAGAAACACGGAGCTCATTGGCGTCTTGCCTCCGGTTTGCTTGTTGACTTTGCTCCGGCCATATCCACCGAAAGCAGGTAAAGACATGAAACACCCGCCGACAAAGTTGGCAACGCCCAGAGCAACAAGCTCACGGTTGGGGCTGAGCTGGATGCCAGGGAAGGTTTCCTGTCCCCCGAGACTTTTGGCAGCAACGGAGGACTCAAAGAATCCGAGAAGAGCGATGAGGAAGGATGTGCTCATCGAGTCCCGGATATGGCTCATGTGAGAAGCTTGGAATGGCCATCGGAATGTGAAAGCGCGGCCCGAAGCGGCTTTGACGGTGCCGAGAATCTCCACGCCTTGCTGGTCCCACTCTAGACGCCAGGCAAGGTACGCAGAGAGAATGACCACAATGAGGCGATCGGGGATATACGCAACACCCAGGTAACGTGGTTGCATGCGACGTTTGATTTCTCTTATTCTTGTTAGAAACAGACTGCAGATCAAGACAAAAAAACAGCAATAGTTGAAAAGGGTTCTGTACCTGAAAACCATGATGATGGCAAAGCTCACAAAGGCGATGATAGCCGTAAGCCTATGTACTCGGTCAAGGTTGCTATAGATAAAGCGAAGCTTGTCAACAGTACTTCCGTGGTCGACACTGGCAGTTTCGGATGCCAGCTTAGAGAGACCGAGCTCGGGGACCAGCTGATCGACAAAGATGACAAAGCCAATGGCAGAAATGAAGCCGCGTAAGAATGGTCGGGAGAGAACGCTATCGAGGAAGCCAAGGCGCGCAATTCCTGCCAGAAGAACTGTTGCGCCGGCAATGCCAGTGATAACGCCGCAAATCCGCGCATGGAGCACATCATCGGCGTCATTACCGCTGCCCGAATCAACACTGGCGCGGATGACAGTGCCTACAAGTAAAGACCCGGCTGCCTCTGGCCCAACGATCATCTGTGGGCAGCTGCCGAGTAGTGCGTATATCATGGGGTTGAAGACAAACGCATACAGGCCGCTGATGGCCGGTACATGGGAGAGGTTGCTGGCGAGGGACAGTGCCATGGGTAGGTAGATGCCGGCAATGGTCAGCGCGGCGACAAAATCGCCCTTGAGGTAACCTAGCTTGTATTGGCTCATCCAAGCGACAGAGGGAACATAATAGGCAAGATACCTGGACATAAAAACGCCAAATTAGCACGTGTGTATGACTTCAAATTGCTTCGGATAAAGACATCGTTACATCGACCCCGTATCGGTCAGGCCATGGCGCTCAGCTAATGCGCTCGACGAGCTCATCTTCTTGCTGCGGACGTTCCGGACTAGCCTCCGCCGCCAAGTGCTGCTGTTCCGGCTGCCAGTGATGGTCGATATCAGGCCGTCTATGATGGGAATTGAGCCGCTTGGACCATCTCTCGCCGAGTCGATCCCTGTGTCGGAGTTGTCGTCGGCTAGTGCTGGGCTGGCGGGACGTGGTGAGAAGGTGCCGTGGTTGCAGGAGCCGGCGTGCGAGCAATGACGGTCGTTGAGCACATCTTGCAAGAGGGCTGTGGATTCCGATGGCGCAGCACTAGGCCCAGCCTGTGAGAGGCGCAACTCCTCGTCAACGTTGTAACTGCTGTAGCCAGCGTCATTTCTAAACTGTGTGGTCGGGCGGGTGCGCGGCGAGGGCTGCGGGCTGCTTTCTCGTGGGGGATCCAGCTTATCGCGGGATGAGGACGAGGCCGCATCAAGGGCGAAGCTGGGACGCAGGCTGCTTCCGCCAGACGACGTGAGAGAGTCGGAACTGCTTGCCATACTCTACCAAGAGGAAGGCGTCCGTGATAGATGAAATGAACTTGGCGACGACGCGCTGTTGGTGGAAAATATCAGTCGGTGGGCAGCACGAGGAGCATGCACGCCAAGGGAAATGCCGTAGTAAAGAATGGTGGGATCGGACACGCGCGATTAGGACGGGACAGAGAATGTGAACGCGGAGCGACAGCGATGACGAAATGTCCAGACCCGCAGACCAAATTGGTTGGGAGCGACAATGGAACCTGTGGCGACAATGAGTAGATTCAAAGTCAAGGCGAGCACATCGAAGTTTGCCAGTATCTCGTCAGGTAAACCTAATGACATACAGAGCTCCGTGGTACTTGTAGAAAATGCAATGGGTGAGCGGTCGTGGACCATCACGGCAATGAAGGATGCAGGCTATGGCAGACGACAATTACGGAAGCAACGCTGGGCGTAGCAAATATGCTCTAGGAATATGCCCTGGTCAGCGCGTAGCCGTCCGCCGAATCACCGATAAAATTCGTTGATGTATCCGCCACAGTATGTATTTGGGGCATAGAAACAGGGGTGCCGGATGCTACGATATGCCAATCATAGAGGCTGAATTAGTGGATAACAACGCCATCATGGTGTCCTCTTTTGACAGATGCGTTTACTGCTAGCGCATGAATTAGCCCATAACAGGTAATTACGATGCATAAATATTGTACATAGTAATACGTCGTGGTGTCAATTTAGAGCCAGGTGCCGACGCATGTTTTCGCTTTGAGATGACAGTAGCGATACAAGAACCGAGCAAGAAATATACCGGGTACATCCTTCTTGAAGCTAAAGCATCGAATTTGAACGACAAGTGCTGGTCTAGTTCTCAATCTATGAAGGTATTTGTCTATTTTTGTAAGCGTCGTGTAACGGGACCTTTACTTGCCTTCGCCTACCTCACACACTACGCGGATACGTCCTTCAACTCGGGGCGCGATGGCCTTGGTCCAATCCGCCTCGTACTCCCACTCCGTCAACGTATCACCAAGACGACTTGGTACGCCGGCCAGGCGACACCACTTGCGGGCCACTCGGCGCATAATCTGCATCTGTCTGTCGATGCGGCGCATTTCTTCTGTGTTTTGAGCCGGCGTTGCATCGTCAACAACACGCTCATTGAAAGGTACCGCGCTACACCGTCTCTGGCGAAGTCGCGCTGCCGTCCAGTCTCCCCAGCCCTCGTCGTTGTCTGGCGACAACGAGCGCCCGCGGAAGTCTTTCTGTCGGGCAATAGGCTCTGCTATCAGTAATGCAGTCGTCGAACCGGGCTGTAGATGTGGATGGTGGTGATCAACTTTGGATACGACGCGACCCCAATGATGTTCCATTGGAGGGCTCCAGTGCGTCCATTGGTCAAGCACCTTGAGGGCCATAAAATACTGCCGCAGCATCATTGAGATGAGTATGCCACCCTCTTCGTCCACAATCTCCTCCGCAGTGCCACCTTCGGATTTGGCAAGAAGGCTCGCGAAGCCATCTGGAACCGTTAGTGGATAGTCGACGAAAATGAACGGGGGCGCAGGAGTTAGACTGGAGGAAAGGCTCAGTACAGAAACTTACCTTTCCCACGTGCCATGTAGCCTCGCGTACATAGCACATACATTTTCTGCAAGTCGGCAGGAGCACCGCCGAGTTCCCACTTTGTGATACGTGACCCCGGTGGTTTTAATGGGTCAAATTCGTACGTGATGTTGGAAACTTGGGCGAAGCGGCCTGCACACCGTTAGTTTAGTAGTCTCGCGCACGCTTATAAAATTAGCCTGGCTCGCAGTACTCACCTTCCAATGCTGGATACAGGGACACTCCATTCTCCAGAGCGTCCAAGATGGCCTGGCCTGTGACTCGAAGAACGACCACCGGGTCCTCAAACGGAAAACAATCGGTAATGTCCTTGACACGCACCGGGCCGGGTGGGTAAATTTGGTCGCCACGGATCGTACCAGAGGCCATGATGGCACAGTCCGCCTCATAGTGCAGACGCATAATGTCACAGACAAAGTTACCTAAGTTGCTTTCCTTGACCCGAACAGTGGTGAATCTCGCATCAAGCGGTGCCGCCGTCCAGCCAATAGCCTTTTCCAGGCTCTGTTTGAGTTTGGCTGTAAGTTCTTCAACAAGACCAAGAGTCGGCATGTCCTCCGGAATAGATGAAACGATGTCTCTTCGCCGTATGACAAAATCCCAACGAGACTTGGGCCCACCGCCATCGCTGCTGAGTCGACGCCAGGCTTCAATGTAACTCAGTTGTTTGAAGTCACTACCTGAACGGAGCACATGCGTACCATTGACAAGACTATGCGAGTAGTAATGGTCGTGCCCTCCAAGTATAAGGTCGGCATCACCGCCTAGATTTTGTGCCAATTTGATATCGTTTGGCTCTCGTGCATGGGAAAGAATAATAATCATATCAGCACCAGCTTTCCGAAGTTCCGGGATAAGCTGCTTAGCTGTCTCCGTAGCAGACTGGTAAACAATATTTGGCGGGAGTGCATTGACCGTATCAAGCCATTCACGCTCGCCCAATCCGATCAGTCCGATCTTGATTCCGTTGGACGAGGTGATTATGTGAGTTTTTTGTAGATGCGCAATAGGGATGCCGTCACCAAGGGCAGGGTCGAAGATGTTTGCAACTAGCCATGGAAACGTACATTTGCCTGTGAGATATTCAAACTGTTTGACGCCAAAGTCGAGGTCATGATTCCCAACGCAGGCACAGGTGGTCGCGAGCTGGTTTAAAATAGGTACCATATGACTGCCCTTGGTGACGGAACTTTCCAAGCTCGGGTTGAAGGCGTCGCCGGAAAATAAGGTAATGAGATCAGGCTGGCCGATGTACCGTTTTGAAGACCTATACTCATTTACTGCGGTTTGGAAGCGCGCAGCCCCACCGACCGGCTCGGCCGATGAAGGGTCCAGATGGTAGACATCGTTGAAATGCAGGATACGTAGGTTCGGGGGCGAGTCGATACTGTGGTCGGGAGTGAACGTAGGAAACTCGGTGCCGTCTGATGAAGTGGATATGGTACGCATCGTTCTGCTGGCTGCGGAAGCCCGGGTTCGGCCGGCAATTGGCTGTTGTCTCGTGCGGCCACAAGTGCTTTTCGCGTCTCTCTCCAGTAGTAGCAGGTATTTGCCTCTGCTAAACGCTCGCGGGAAAACAAAAAAGAAAAGGCTGTCAGCAATGCTAGCAGCCCAATAATTAGGAAGAAGATACCCGGGAGGCTTTTTTCGGAGGGGAGAAGGCAAGCTAGGAAGGAGCGCTGGATTCTATGAAATTGGTATCTTTTTATGGGTCATGTCTCGATGGTTTCTGTCAGTGTATGAGCATTCTATTTTCAATAGTGTCACATTATTGCTCCTTTGGGCAGCCACTGGACATCGTAAGTAGTCCATCTGATGTCGAATCCGGCCTCTCATAAAAGCGGGCCATTTGAGCCGCCTACCGTGGCTCCACCCCAACAAAAAAGCTGACACACCGAAAGAGATCCCCCCCTATTCTCGACTTCTACTTTTTTATCCTTTTACCACCAATTTCATCACCAAAAATGGCCTCTGGCGAGTTTTCGACGCCACGAAAGGCTAGGATTCAAGGAATCTGTGACTATCTCGATAAAACCCGAATTCCCTACCATCATAACGACGTTTTCCTTTCTGAAGGTGTGTCACGAAGCACCGGGTGAAGGATTTTACGACAACCACGTAATCTCGACCCTCGAACTTTTCACTCGAATTACCGTGAGACCCGTGGTCGCCCGAAAAAAGCTTTCAGAAGATGACCTCGACCGTCTTGAATCCTTGATTCTTATTAACGGTTACGATTCTCGTACTCTTCACTGGCAAGAACTTATCTCAGAAGCTGGTTTGGATATCGAGGTCTCCGTAGAAACTGTTCGCCGTAGATTAAAAGAGAGACAGTTCCGACGATGTTAAGCTTGTTAAAAAGAATACGTTTCACCTCGTCTTACGGCGTGACGATAAGAATATACGTAAATAATGTTAGAGCGGTACTTAGAACTAGAAGATTGGCGCCACGTCCGATTTTTTGACGAGACACACTTTGGATAAGGACTAGAAGGTAAAGTTTATATTATTCGACGACTATGGGAGCGTTAATGTACCGACTGTGTTATTGAAAAAAGAGAGTCACTAACTCGAGACATAAAACGACTTTATACTTAGGCGGTAGTTGACTATAATTTCAAGAGTCCTTTAGTATAGTACGATGTACCAGGAAACACGAATAGAAAGATGAGCTTACAAGTTTATCGTGATCAAATTCTTGAACCGGTCGTCGACGCATAACTTCGAAAAGACCACTCTTTTATCCTTAAAAAGGATAACGACTCTAGACATAGTACAGTGAAACAAATATTGTACGTACTTAGAAGCGGAAAAATAACCTGACTTCTTTCTTTAATTATACTACATCACCGGATCTCGTGCCAATAGAAAAGGCTTTTCTAATACCGAAAACCTACGTACGGTCACAGTCTTGTTGGGACGACGAGACGTTACAAACACTAGCAGAGGAAGGCTGGGATCAATTAAAACAGTCTACGATAAATTCGTGGATCGATGAAATTCCCACGATACTTAAACAAGTGGCAGATTCAGAGCAATTAGGTGGTAGGATGTCTGGGTATTAGGTGTACTGTTAGAAATCAAAAGATTTTGGTGTGTCAGTTTTTTTGTTGGGGTGGAGCGTGGCAACCGTGCCAAAAGGCTTAACTTTTGGGAGCGTGCGCTGGGACCACCTTTTTATGTGTTGGTTCATTTTCTCACGGCTTCCTTATTCTAAAAATTTACGTATTTCGTTTTGGCTTCATCCCGACGTCAGCAAACTAACACGTCTGTACTAAAGAACGGCTTATTCCTGCCGAAATGGCCACTGAAGAACCTACCATACGCTTTGCGCGCCGCGAAGGTACGTAATTGCTTGATTTATGGCCTTCAATAATGGTTCTGTTCAGGTTTCTAACTATTTGTAGATGTCCCGTCAATCCTCCACCTGATCCGCGAGCTCGCAGACTATGAGCACGCGATTGACAGCGTTGAGGCTACCGAGGAGAAGCTGCTGGCCACCATTGCGTTCGCTCCCCAGTCACATGATGTTAACAGTCTCACGGTGTCGACAGAGCCGACATCCCCAAGTCGGCCTGCACGCTGTTTGATCCTCTTTACGCCTGATGGGACACCCGCCGGCATTGCACTTTACTTTTACAACTACAGCACATGGCGTGCGCGGCCTGGCATTTATCTCGAGGACCTCTTTATAAGCTCGTCTCAGAGAAAAAAGGGCTACGGCCGAAAGCTGCTTGAGGCTTTAGCAAAGGAGGTAGTCGCTATGGGCGGCGGGCGATTAGAGTGGAGTGTTCTCAAGTGGAATGAACCAAGCATCAAGTTTTACGAGAGCATCGGCGCTACGATGATGGATGAATGGGTGGGAATGCGTGTTGATGGTGAGGGACTAGCCAATCTCGCAGGGGAGAATTAGCAACATGTCGCAGGGAGAGAATACAAAGAGCAACCTGGGGTTTTGCATTGATTCAGCCCTGTTGTCATCTATCATTCGCACCATTCGCTGCATTTTTGGGTGGCGTCGCATCTCAAGTGGTGTTTTTCGGCTGCTCCCCTGATGAACGAAGAGGCAAGGCGCCTTTGCTGTCGACCCCTTCAAAAAACTCGAGGCTGGCCGCCGTCGGTGATAGCGGCTGCAATGAAGTTCCGCCCCATGTGATATCCCAGCCACTCGCCTGCCCGCCTGCCTTGCTTTCCATGACTGCCGTCAACTGCCAAATCTCCCCATACAGCCGCCGCCAAAAACGAGGCGTATAGTTGTGGTAGCCAATGGCTGGACCATCGAAGGGCGAGCTCAAAGGTGCTGGAAAAGGTCTAGAGGCAAGTCGAAAGCGTCGAGAGTTGGATCGTTCGACAGCCCTGACGGGACCTGCCAAGTACTTCTCCCAGTCCCATGTCTCAATTCCGCCGTCTGCTGCTGGCAACGTGTCTTGAAGAGAAGTTACGGCCGATGCAGCGGAGGAGCGCCTCGACGGCACAGCCCAATGCGAACCTGCTTCGCCGGTAGCTAATTGCTTCAAAAGCTCCCACTCGCCACGGGGTAAAGGTGGCAATATGCGGTTCGCACACTGCTTCCACCACTTTTTCTCTTTCAGACGCGCTGGTTTCTCAGCAAAGGGCTTCCCCCATATATTCATTGCGGGAACCGCTGTGCGGGGTTCAAGCCTCTTGGAGCTAAAGTTTGGTCGCGGGGAATTGCGCAAGTTGCGGCCAGCCTGGCTTCTCGCGAACGCAAGGATTTTCCCTTTATCCCAAGTCCCCAACCAGTCCCGCGGGGCGGTGGCATGTGCTTCCCGGAGCTGGTCTTCAAGTTGTCCCGAATTATCTGGTTGCTTCAGCCGGCAAAGATCCGCGAGAAGCTCGTGCCGCCTCCAGCCGATGCGGCCGAAAGACAACATCATAACTTTGCGCATGCGGTCCATATCCCCGAGGTTCGCTGCCCGAAGATTGCGAAAGTCATGGAGGGCCTGACGAAGACGCTTCTCAGGATTCGGATCTGCCCTGTGCCTTCTAAACCGGAAGCGAATGCGAGGTTCAATGCGCGTCCTACATACCGGCGGAAGGTAGGAGGCTTCACGGAGTAGGCTGCGATATACGTGGAGCGGATTGTAGGCCCTCTTGAATCCGCTTGGCGGTGACATGACGACTTATGGGCATCTGATGTATGCTGTACTCGAAGAGCTAGATTGTCTTCATGTTTAAAAGCTCTCATTAAAAGGTTTGCGATAATCCGACTTCAAGCTCAGGTCTTCCTTCCCCATCTCAAACTGGGTACAAAGAAAACCCGTCCTTAAACAGGTAGTAAGGCATTATCCGTATCCCACACAGTGTGGTTAATGTGTCGTCTGATTGGCGAGTGGCTCGGTGTCCCTTCCCCCCCCCCCCGCCCACCCGCTAAAATGACCAGGCGCGTCGTGCGGCCACGCCACGGACAGAAACCTGGACACGAAATCACGAAACCGACACGACCGCGACACCACCGACTTTAATTGATTTCCAACACGCCTAATACATAGAGCGGTTTGAGCATCGCCAACACCAACCACCCAATTCATGTCACGCTCTCCCCCTCAATCGGTCACATCACGTCGCCCTGGACTCCACTTGACGCGACCACGCCTTCTACGTGAATGAGTGAACCCTTTCCCGTCTCACGAACCTTTTCACTGTTTTGAACCACCCTGCCTTTCCTTGCATCGCTTACTTCCCGCGACTGTCATCTTCCTTAATCTTTCAATTTTGCTCCCATTCGCCGAACTCGTTTCTGTTCGTCAGCGGCTTCGCATCTAACAAGACGCAGCCCTTTTCGGTCCTTCTCCTCGCCTTGATTGTTCTGTCGTGTCGACGTAGCTTTTCCCTTCTCTTCCCTCTCTGTTGCCCTGTAGCGGTTACTTACAATAGCCCACCTCTCCGACATCCACTCTTCTGATCGTTGCGCCCACGTCATTGACGAATCATTATCTCGTCTGGGCCCCTGGAAGGTTGCCCTATATGGCCTCTGCAACTGTCACCACATCACTCCAACCACACCGCGCATCCTTCTCGGCTGCCGGTGGTCTTTCTCACGAGCAGACGCAGCCTCCAACGCAGAAAGCAACGGCCCCAACTCCCTCGCCAGCCTCGGCCTCCGCTCAGCTGGCGGTGACACTCCCACCATCTCATCCATCCCACGCGCCACATCTGTCGGTCAGCAATCCCTTGGATAAGTCAAGCAACTCACTCAGCGGCGTCGCTCAAATGCCATCCGCGTCGCAACAATCGCAGTCTTCACAGCAGTCTTTTGCAATGAACGCGGATCCTTCACAGCAGTCCGGGCCGTTATCGGTGTCTGGCTATCGGCCTTTCGCAGAGTCTTCCCAATCGAAACCTGAAGACGACGACCCGATGAAAATTTACTCGGTATGCTACATAAACCTGTGCTTTCCCTCCCTTTTTGAATCGGACCTATACCACATCCGATACCGTGTTGTCTTGTAGACCTTGAGCTAACCTTGTATCTTCAGGCTGTTTACTCGAACACAAATGTTTACGAGATGGAAGTGAACGGCATCGCCGTTATGCGCCGCCGTCACGACTCTTGGCTCAATGCTACACAGATTTTGAAAGTTGCCGGTGTCGACAAAGGCAAGCGCACTAAAATTCTCGAGAAGGAAATCCAAACAGGGGAACACGAGAAGATCCAAGGTGGCTATGGAAAATATCAAGGCACCTGGATCCGTTTTGAGCGCGGAGTCGAGGTGTGTCGGCAATACGGCGTGGAGGAGATTCTTCGTCCCCTCCTAACCTATGATATGGGCCAGGATGGTGGTATTGCTGGCCAGGGCAATTTCAACACACCGACTAAAGAACAGGCAATGGCTGCTCAACGAAAAAGGCTCTATAACGCCGGCAATGAAAGCCGGTCTAATGGCGCGTCGGGCACCTTCTTCAAAGGCATTTCCAGCACGGCGTCCAACATGGTCGGGATCATCAGCAAGGCTCGCTTTGAGTCGCCCGGCCCGAGGAACCGTCCTGCGAGCGGCCAGGCGGACAGAAATGGTCTCGCACGCGGTCCAAGTTTTACTCGACAACCGTCAATGCAAGGCGACGAACTTCCGAATTCCCAGCAAAGCTATACGTCCGAATACAACAGAGATGATGCTTACTCGTCTCAACCCCACAGCACCCAGCAAACCAACATTGGTGATGGCACAGAGCCTCCTCGGAAGCGTGCCAGGATGGCGGCCGCCCCTGCCGACAGCTTTGCGTTCCCTGGCTCGGCCGATGCATATGCTAACGCGGCCGCGTTCCCGGGCTCCCCAACAGAGCCGAACGAGTCGTTCATTTATAGCCAAGCTGGCTTCGAGCTACACCCGTCCATAGAAGGCCTCAATCCCCTCCCGCCCCTGCCGTTTGAAGTTTCCGCCGATGCCGAAAACAAGCGTAACACACTTATGTCCCTGTTTATGGACTCGAATGGCACAGATCAATCCCGATTCGACATTCTTCGTCGCATGACGCCGCATGAGCTTGATATGCCTATTGATGCACAAAGCCATACTGCTCTGCATTGGGCAGCCACGCTGTCTCGGATGCCTCTGCTCCGCTCTTTGATTGCTAGCGGTGCAAATCCATTTCGTGTCAATGCTGTAGGCGAGACGGCATTGATGCGTGCGTGCCTTGTTACAAACTCCCATGAACACAATTCTATGCCGGACCTCCTGGATGTGCTAGGCAGTACAATTGAGGTGCGCGATGCAAAGGGACGAACTGTACTGCACCATATCGCAGTTACAAGCTCTGTCAAAGGGAGAAGCGCGGCCAGCCGGTATTATCTCCAGTGTCTCCTTGAATGGGTTGTACGTCAAGGGAGTGCACCGAGCAGCCAAGTGCTTCAATCGAGCATGAATGGAAATTTGTCGTCTGCTCCTGAAAAGCTCGGCCTTGCCCGATTCATGAGCGAAATCGTTAACGCACAAGATAAGGCTGGAGACACGGCCTTGAATATTGCTGCCAAAATTGGAAACCGCAGCATCATCTCACAGTTGCTAGAGGTCTGCGCAGATCCCAACCTTCCGAACCGGCAGGGTTTGCGGCCACTGGACTTCGGGGTTGGGGTTAGTACCTCTGGTGAAGGACGTGCTGATGATGCACGCGACGGCGAACCCAAAGGCGGCTCTGGTAGCAGTCAAAAGAGTCACGAAAGCAATGACGAAATTGTTTCATGTAAGAATCTGACCATCTATCTCCTTCACTCTCCTGGTCAACAGTTCGGTGCTAACGCAAACGAGCCATTACGCATCTCCTATCAGAGACCGCATCGGTGTTTCGGAACGAGATGAAGGCGAAACAGCATGCGGTAGATTCTTTGCACGCCTCGATTCGCGCGACCTCGTCACAGTTGGGTGAAGCTCGACGGACTCTCGATACACTTGAGGGGAAAGCAAAGAAACAGCAACAATCACGCCAGAAAGTCATCAACTTGTCACGTGCTCGGGACGAAGAGCAGTTCCGTGTGATGGAACTCGAACAGGCACGAGGACGTACTCGTAGTGACCCAAGCCTTACAATGAGCTGGGAAGTCGAAGTGGAAAGCTTGGTAACCATGCCAACCCCGTCGCCGGGTAGTGAGTGCATAAACGGCTCAACGTTGAGAGACTCGCCAGTGCTACCTTCCAGCAGTGTCCTGCGGGCACGAATCAACGCCCTGCGTTTGCGGACCGCGGAGACGCGACAGGCGGAGCAAGCTCTCAAAAGTCGCAGTAGGGAAATTGAACTCAAGTTCAGGCACCTGGTGGCACTCGCTACAAAGTGCTCGGATGCTGATGTGGACAGCCACCTCGACAGCCTAATGCGTGCTGTGGAGAGCGAGAAAGGTGACTTGGAGATTGGGCGTGTGCGTCGTTTCCTTGGCGGTGTTGAGGGGGTTGTGCATTGAGCAGTGTAACTTTTGGTGTACTCCGGTTATGTTTTCACCTTTGTGTTGTCATATGTTTAGTTGGCACTTTTGCCTTCTGGGCTACACTATCTTTGTCTGCATTTATATTTTTGGGGGGCTGCGTATCATATGTGCGGAATTATTGTGCTAAACCTGACTTATATTGCAGTCTTTATTTGTTATCTAGCCAGCTTGTTCTCTGTGACCACAAAATAAAGTCGGGATATAATATCCCTTTTCGGCCTGAATATTGTCTAGTCCTAAAACCTCGTAAATGTACATGTAACACATTGATTCTGTGTCATTGTTCCGTTTCGTGTGACAAGCCATATCGAAGTCTCGAAAAGCGACAGCTTGCCCAGAGCGAAGAACTATTTTTATCAATTAAGTAAAACCAAAAATATATTTCCAACCGAAACGCCATGCTCGCTTCTCTAAAATGCACACTGCCTCGCACGAACGTCGCTTTGTTAGCTACGTGGCACCGTAAAGATTCTCCCAGCGTTCCCGTACACCATTAACCTGCAACCTCAGCCGGTTGATCTCAAAATCCAGCTCCTCGACGTTACGGGATAGTGCACCAACCTCTTCGAATCGTCGGGATCCATGAGCGCTATCCACCATCTGTTGCACAAGAAAACGTTGTTCCTCCAATACAGCCAGGTTTTCCCTCACTTCCCTTTCCTCCGTCTCTAAAACAGACACAGCTGTGCTCACTTCGCTACCTGCCACGCTTCCAGAGTCAGTCCCATCACCAATGTTTTCGCCGTTGCGTAGGGGTGACATTTGAGGGCTGCCACCGTTGAGATTTGCGAGAAGCCTCCGGTGCGTAGAAGCGTTGGCCGAAGGTTGATGGGACCGTAACATCTTCGGAACATGTTTCAATGGTACCATATTGAGGTGTAAGAATGTCGATGCAGCAGTAAAAACGGATTTTTGCAAACGCCGTTGTGCAGGACTCTCTGTTTTGAGGTCCCGGAGGCGGACAGCCGCTAGGTTGTACTTTGTGAAGCTGTCCATTAGCCGTTTGCGTATTTTCGCAGCTTCTTGAATCTGGGCACGAGTCGCTGGCGGTCGATTTGATCCAGGCGCATCGGGCTGCAAGGATTGTAGGGAGCGTTGAAACAAAGGCATCAGCTGCCGGATTCCCCATTCAAACTGGCGGAGCGTTTCGTACGCTCGCTGGTCAGCGGGTTTGTACTCTGCAGCGGCGTCGAAGTCCCGTTTCGAGAAAATCGTTGAATTGCAATCGCGACACATTCGAATATCAACATCAACTTTATCCTCCGCCTGCTCGCGTAACTTTTCGGTGGGATTTGCGGAGATATTTCTCTTGCGGGTAGCCACGCTCAGGCCGACTTCTCTGGAACACCCGGTCTGTGGATCTGCGCATACTACTCTCCCACAAATACGGCAGTGGTGGCGACGGAATGTCCACGACCCAAACTCTTGTTGGCAGAATGGGCACCGCGCTACTTTCGAGTCGTCCTCCCACGCTATCACTGACTGCTCGATCGTTTTCCGGAGGTTCTTGTGGCCCGAAAGTGCCGAAACGGGCGACAATAGGTTCGCGGTCCCTCCACTCCCAGCGCCCACACCGGCCACCGCAACCAGCTCTGGTGGTGGATCGGCAAGTAGCTGTGTCAATTTAGTAAGACGTTTTTCGAGCCTCGCTATTTCCAAATTTTGCCGTTCGATACGCCCTTTTCGGACCTCCATAAAGCCACCAGTTAAGTCAGCCTCTACACCGCAGTGGTCGTTGTAACCAGGGCGTGATTTGTAACAAGTCTCGCAGACACGGGCCCAGTAGCCCCGCATAGGGTCATAATTTGCTGAACGAGAAAGCTTTGTCTGGTACATCGTATGTACTTCACAGAATAGTTTACCACAAACCCGGCAGTTGATGCTTCCATTTAGAGGACCCAGGGTTTTGGGGCATGTCGGGTCGGTGCACATATCGTGGCCAGTCGGTCTTTGCCAGTGCTTCCGCGTAATCATTACATCCGGATCAACTGTCGGTTCGGGGGTGGGCTTTGACGGACCTCCATGGCTCGGTGCAGTTTGTAAGGTATGGGTTGGAAAGGAGGCGTTTGACTCGAACGCCTCGATGCCTCGGAGCTTTTGGTTGAGAATGGATAAAGGCTGGAATTTCTTGGCTTTGGTCACTTGCTTATCGAACCAAGTCTTCACTTCATCTTGCTGTATCTCTGGCAATTCTTGATGAGCATCGTCAATATGTCTATCGTGCGGTTAGAAGTGTAATATCCAGGCGAAGGAGTTCTTGTAAGGTATAACGTACCTGTTCAGCTGAAGCAACGTAACCTGGTGATCCTCTATTAGTTCTTCCAAGCTATTGACCATTAATCAAGAACAACGATCCCCAAAGGCTATCAGAAAGTCCAGCACCTACCATCTCCTCCTGGCAAATTGGACAAACTAGCTGTCCCCCATCGCGCAGGGAGGGCGTAGCCAAACTAATATTCGCAGTCAAGTCCTGGTCGGCGCCGGGTAGCGTGCTAGGTGTGGAAGGTGGCGATAGCCCGGCAGCAATATGGGAGCCCCGCGACAGGCTACTAACATCAGACGGAGCATGAGGGCTAGATGAGCGCACACGCCGCAGAGTTTCGCCAGTCTCCGTCGGTGGTGCGAGTCCTTTACCACTTCCTAAGACTCTGCCCCCTCCAAGTTTCCGCGAGGCCATGGGATAGAAGTGGTGACAGTTCACCGGTCGTCAGCGGCCGCTCAGTCTGTTTTGGTTCGATGGATTGGGGGCTCGGTTTGAGCAAGAGTCGGCGACCCGCACCGGCAAGGCGAGGTCGGTAAGGAAGTCGGGGAAAGGATAGAAGTGGTTGATATATAAACAGCGCAGGCTGTTACAGCCCTCCAGCTGGCCTTGCCGCAAATGCCGGGAGATGGTCACTGTTTTGCCGTGTGGTTGGTTTCGTAAGATACAATGAGGGATAGGATTACGGGCTCTGTCGGCGAGTAATATGGCACACGTTTAGTACGTCGAAGCTGTAACTGCTGCTAGTAAATCCAACGTAATACAAACATATTTTGGGCCGCAATAGGTGCACATGTCTGTGCATGTAAAATATATTATGTAATATGAAGACGGCTTCTTATTGGCCTACAATCTTGTGCATTAATGCCTTACATAATTGTTTTTTCCGTCGCCGACGTCATCGTTAGGAGCATCGCCAGAAGCATCGCCAAAGTTGTAAAAAGTATATTAACCACCATATAAATTATGTGCTATAACTTATAACTCCAGGTAAGCCTTTACGGCGGCGGTCCGTGAGGCTTGTCTAAAACGAGTTCTAAGAGCACGCGATATACGGGGCCGCTGATGTACGAGAGGTCCGTGTACGCTACCGGTACCGGTTCCATCGCGCTCCGCCTCCGCTTTCTCCAGTTCCTGCCATGCCGCACACGTTAAACTTGCACACTTTATTGGCCAATCAGAAGCACCTAATAGATTATGTAAGAAAGGTCCTACATGGACAGACCTGAGCACCTCTTGGATACCCTTTCTACACTAGCTTCCGAGCTCCATCCTTTTATCGCTATTGATCTTTCTCCTCATAGAGCACCCACTTTGGACAACAAAAAATGACCACTTTTAATTCACATTTTGCCATTTAACAACTGGCCCTTGCATTATTCCGCCGCTACACAAAATGGCCAGCACATTTCCCGAAGTTCAAGGCGGAGGTAGCTTGATTATTGCGTGGCAGATCAGGGCCAAAAAGGTCGTTGTGGTTGGCGGCGGCGAGGCAAGTTCTGTCCTTCCCCCAATTTGAGAATTCGTTTTGCTAATCTATGGTATGTATAGGTTGCTGCTGGGCGGATCCTTCATTGCCTCAACGCCGATGCTGCGGTTACCGTTGTCGCCCCATTATCGGGCTTGAACCCAGAGGTGGCCTATCGAGTAAGACAAAAACAAGTACAGCACATCGACCGCCTGTTCGAACCGCAAGATCTTGACGGCGCCGATATGGTTCTCACAGCTGTGGACGACCCGGAGGCATCCACTCGGATATGGAAGCTCTGCAAGGAGAGGCGAATTGCTGTCAACGTTGCCGATGTTCCACCAGAGTGCGATTTTTACTTTGGTAGCGTGCACCGTGACGGGCCATTACAAATAATGGTCAGCACCAATGGCAAGGGTCCTCGGCTTGCTCATGCGATTCGCAAATACATAGCCAAGCTTCTCCCCAAACAGGCCGGAAAAGCTATTGACTCTGTTGGCGAGCTGCGTGTTAAGTTGCGGCGAATGGTTCCCGGTCCTGAAGAAGGACCAAAACGGATGGTTTGGTATGCTCTCCTTCAGTCGTATGGAAACAGAACGAGAGGGTTAACATTTCCAGGATGACAAAAGTAAGCGACGCCTACTCTTTCGAGGATCTCTGCAGCCTAACCGACGAAGACGTCAACAACCTCCTTCGCTTTTACGCCTCGGACAGTGTGCCACCATTGGATATTTTGCTCTCCATGCGTGGTAACCCTGATCTGAGTAAGATCGACGTATTTGACGGTTCTTTTGGATTCAACATTGGGGTTTAAACTCTAGGTGTTTGATCTCATTGCATAGCGAAGCCTTTCGAAGTTGCGAAATATCCCTTGGCCGGCGTTGGGCATTAGTTTTTTGAAAAAATTAAAATGATATACTAATATTGACTTTATGTTTCTAATAACAGCACTGGTTGTATGCTACATGGAAAGAGGTACTTGGAATTCGCTATATATTTTCTCGGCAATACGATATTCACCAGTCTTGTCTCCAAAGAACTACGTCAATCCGTTTCACCTGTATGTGAAATACACTGCCTTTATTATTATTCACCTTTGCCATATGTACACCGTTCTGGTTGTAAACAATGGAAGAACGCGCCAAAAGATGCCTGAAAAGGAGGGCGTCTGCGTTTAATACACGACCTACCTCATACAGTGTATATTATGGTTTGTTTGTACTGTTTATACTGTGTACTTTAAACCAGAGCAGATCGACGCGTCACGCGGTTCTATCGCGCGTTTTCTTTCTACGTAGGGCTTGTTCGTTATTGAATTTTAAACAGGAGAGCACCCTCCGCGCAAATATATACCATAAAAATAGAAATAAAAATGGCCAGGATACGAGTTTCGGAGATACGGTCATCACCTCATTCACACGATAGCACGGAATCCGACGGGCAGCTCAGCTCTGCTGAGGGCAAATCATTACCAGCATGCGATCTTTTTAACACGACTTTCTCACTCCACCGGGTATCGCCTCTGTTTCTTGGAACAAGCGACTTGTCAGGTCCCCACCTGCGAACTCTTGAAGCTCAACTCCGAGGAATTCTCACCGGCGACGTTGTGCGCGGCATTGAGGTTGGGCTTAACGAAGACGGCGAACACGCATTGGGCAATGCTGGCGTTTTGGAAGCGGTCACAATCGAATGGGTCTCTGTGCATGAAACTGCTGCAATGTCGAAGCCGGCCTTGCAAGTGACCCTGCAGTATGAGAGCGCCCAGTGTTTGGCCATACTTCTGCCAACCCTAGAAGCGACCGAAACGGCGAATCGAACAAATACAGCACCACGCCAAACGTTCTTACACCTTCCCCTACTGCTCATGAGAATGCCAACGCCTTTAAAAGGTGTTATTTCCAGCTTTCTGTCAAGCTCGTTTGATTGTCGGATATCCACCCTCCATTTGAATGACAAGGACGTTATCAAGGGCTGGGAATGTTGGGTTCGTGCAACTACGCTGCCGACCGGCGAATACTTGGCCAAAGACACAGTTTTGACCATTGCATTTAGCCTTCCGGAAATTGACGACGTGGCCGGCAGTTCTGATGGTCATAATACTATAGCTCCGCCGTCCCCAATTTCCCAAAATCTTACCGGGACCGGTGGCCGTGCGAGCCCTTCCTTGTCCGATAGTGCTAGCCTTGGCCTTAGGACAATCGACATTTTTGTACCAGACGATGATCTTCGCGGATTTTTTGAGGCGGGTCGCCAACTTCAGCCAGCACTCGCAGCGAATGGTACACCCTTCACACAAGCATTATCATTCTATGTGAAATCCCATTTGGGACTCGACATGGCCCATTCAGCAGTTGGCGTTGTACGAGTTGCCTGCGGTGGATTTGTTTTGTCAAGCAACCGCTTGAAAATATTTGCACCTCCGAGAAGTCATGCCGACATGTATTCTGGCCGACATGGAGATATAATTTCGCTTATACTAGGTGATCTAGTCATGAGAGCCACCGAGTGAGGGACGGTGCACGATAAATGAGGAGTTGCTTTTCATTTCCGGTGTGTTGTACTTCACACCAAAAATCACAGGTTATGAATCACCAACAGTGACTTTTCACCATCTGCACACAAACATATACGATGCGGCCACATGTATGAAATTCCCGTTAAGAAAATCAGCGTAGTATGGATAACAGTAACCTGCATTCGTTCCATATGTACAGTATATCTCGAAACGCTCATATAGACCTTTCGAAATTGGTAGACAAGACCCGTTAGCTTACAATGGACATTGAGCTCACAAACCGTGCGTCATATCTGTTACCTTGTGACGTACTCTGTGTGTTGTTAAGGGGATAGATGTTGAGTGGACATATGTAATATTTTATGGACATACTCGACAATTCTATACGGCTAAAATATTTCTTATCGTGGCAAATTATGGGTAGTACGCCGGATGAGGATGGAATGCGATTGGAAATGCAAGGACAAATCCAGCCCCCACCAACTGCCAGGGAAGGGGTATGAGTAGAAAGATTAAAAGAGGAAAAAAGAGGCAGAACAGAAGCAGTTCCTCGAGCATGAGACCAAACCAGCTCACCTGCAGCACATCGGGCTGCTTAATAGCCTCCGTGAATCAGAAAATAGGCGGAAGAAATTAGAGGGGGAAACAAATCAAGCCAGAATGGGAAGATAAAGGGGTTCATCCAGCAGTCCGTATATCAACGGCATCTACTTCGTAGCTAGCTCCGCGTATTCGTAGCTGAATTCTACTGGCACTCTGCCCACCAAACGCTGTTCCGCACACAGGTGAAACGCGCTTGGCATTGCGTCAGACCGTTGTAGCCAATACCACCACACTGCCTCCACTGCTGGACCGGCGTAGCACTTTTTGTCGGCACCGATGAGGGCACTGTCGAGGTGTCTGCACCTAAGCCAGTGCCCGACTTGGTCACTTTCCGAGTTGCACTCGAGGACGTGGGGAGGGACGCAACGGTATTTGTTGCTGTCACATGGTAGGAACTTGATATGGGTCCACTCGATCGAGTTCCTCTCTCGACACTTATTGTGATTGTCGAAAAAGTTGTTGGCCGTGCCATTCCAGAAGTTGGTCTGGGTGTCGTCGATTTTGTAGTCAGCGTTCGCAAGATTGAAACCGTACCGATCGTAGCAGATGAACGTGTCATTAACGTGGTGCCCGTCGGCACCTCCGAGACTTTCGTGGTAACCGTCGCCCCTGCCGTTGTATTTGCCGCTGTGGAAAGCGTGGATGTTCCCGAGCCGAGGTCCTGAACGACCTGGTCAAGAAAGCCAGCGTTGGCATGGACCTGGGACATATCCCACATCATAATACCCCCAAAACTCGCAAACTGCTTGCAATACGAAATGATGGACGTCAGAGAGGACCCCGCCGTGTAACCCGTTCCAGCAGCCGTTGAACTACCGGGAATACCAAGAAGGACTCTAACATTTGGATTTTTGCTAGACGTCTTGGCCCATCTATCCCAAGTGTCAAAGTTAAAGCTGTTCTGCTTCGAGGCAGCATATACAAATGACGGCAGGCCACAGTAATTGTTGTAGAATTGCACCATGACGAAATCAAAGTACACGGAACCAGCAAGCATGTCCTTGTCGGCGGCGTCGGGGTACGGGCACTGAGGCGCAGCTGAAAGGTAGTACGGTTTGTCGCCGGCAGCTGTCGCAACGTCCATCTTAGACCGCAAAGCCGAAGCAAAGGGAGCCATGTTGGAGCTACTGGACTCGAAGTCGAAATCAAAGCCATCAACAACAGCTTTTCCAAATGGCCGATTAACCGTGCCGTTGGACTGGACCGGGCCGAACATAGCCCAGATGTTGTCAGCGGCTGAAGTTGCAGCGATCGACGAACGGAATCCACCTTCCGTATAGGTAGCACCGCCCACGGAAAGCATAATCGTCTTTCCATACTTGGACTGGCACGTTTGGATATCCTCCCTGTTGATCGAGTCAGCTGATCTGAGCAGAGAAATGTACCCTTGTCGGTTTGGTTGCCCATGTCGATACTTACTCGAGCTGAGAGCAGCCCAGCAATGTCGATCCTGAAAACGCAGTGCAGTTGTCGCCGGCGTTGGCAAAGTTGACCGAAGGACTGCTAATGACGTTCAAGAACGCCAGCGGAATAATCTAACTTCAAGTTAGTCACTATTCTTTGTCAAGGTATAGTGTGCATGATTGAGCAGGTCTCTCATGCGCAGTGATACATACGTCGACCTGGGCATCTATACAGGAAATGTTAGTGGACCATCCAGTTATAGTTTCGGGAGGTAAAGAACGTGATCTGACGTACTTGAGCAGTAGAATGAGAGGCGCTGCTGTGCGTTGGAGGTACCAGTAGCAGCTCCGTGCGAGTTCTGTCCCCAGTATATAGCAATGTTGTCGGCACCCGACGAACTAAAGCTGCCTGCGACCGTCGTAGCAAAACAAGAAAGTGCCACTAAGACAGCCAGATCTCCGTGGAAAAATAGCATGGCAGGAAGGGCAAAGTGGGTAGGTAAACCACGGAATGAAGCACGGCTAGTCTGAGCAATAACGGTGGCAGAGGCAACGAGAACCGTTTAGGGTGGCGTGGAAGGCAGGGGCATAAAAGGGCACTAGACAGGTGTCGTGAAGACCGGAAAGATGATCGTGGGAATAAAACGAAGGGGAACAAAAAGACGAGGTGAAGGAAACGACGTCAGTCTCAAGAGCAACGTCCGCGTCTTAAATATAGAGGCAGTAAATATTTGGATAAAAAGAAAAGCATTGAAAGTAAATGACAACGGAACAAGAGTGACGAGTCAGTGTGCCATGCAAAGGAGAAAACGAGACATATGTAAGAGCCTATAAGGAAACAGGCAAGAGGAAACCTGGCTGAGCGACCGTGGTTTAAGTGACCCAGGATGGAAAAGGAACAGGATGCCAACGTGGAAGGGAAGCCCCAACGTGGAAGGGAAGCCGGTCAACAGTTCCCAGCAGTGTCGTGAAGGGACGAAAGGGATGCAACCCGTGGCAAGCTCGGCGCAAAAAAGGTTGTCGAACCAAGGGAGGTCAATGGTGCGGTGCAGAGTAGGTGTAAGCCGACTGTGAACGGGTGCACCACGATGCGGCTCCTCAGCAATAAAAGAAGCAATACTTGTCCAACGGTTGATGTGTGGCTGGGGCCAAGATTATATAAGTTAAGTAAATATGGATCGTGAGGTGGAAGGCCGCAGTTATCAAAATTTAAGGTCATCGCAATGTGCGTCAAATATACTAGTGAAGAGGGAAGGAATTAGAATTCGAAGAAGCGGAGGGGGGGAGGGAGAACAGGAGCAAATAAAAAATAAATAAGAAAAGAAAAGAACATCGGCATAGCCCGTACAGCCTCTGCTGAAAGGGGACCAATATTATATGTATGGGAGAATGAGACTGGAGACAGCATTATGGAAGCAAATTAGCCCCATCATCGCCAAAGCATGCCTAGTCACGAACCCTTTTCTAGATTTCTGGCTTCATACATCGTCGTGGTTGGGGTCGGGCTATGGACACAACGAGCGGGTTTCTATGTGATCTGGGGCTTGATAAACGTGTGAGCGACGGGCATTCCTGTATGACATACAACAGGGCTGGAAGTCGCGCCGCAAGACAAGCGATTGCTGGCCTCTTCCGCGTTCCAGTCGGATCCGCCTACTTCACTGGGGAGTGCGAAACGGGGCAGCCCTCTTAAGCAAGGCTAGGGCCGAGATCGACTCACCTTGGTAGTCAGGCTGTGCCTACTCACTAGGTCGACTTTAAAAGGAAATGGGCTTCTAAGAAAGGGCTGGGGCTGGTAGGGTAGGTTCTCTGGAATGTTATATACGCAACGCAACGACAAGGCTAGATAGGAGAAGGGCCAAAACACGACTAGCAAGAATGCCAAAGGCAGTAATAAATGGCGACCAACAGGAGATCCCTAGAGACAGCCAACAAGACAATACGCTCAACCAGGAGACCGACACTAAACATCATGGACCCACTACATGGTCGAATCTACATCGAAAAAGAGCGTAGACAGTGCCATGAGGAAGTTATTCCATTACAGTAAGGGGTAATTAATCTTTAGGGCAGCATGGGGACAGAAATAAACAGAACTCAAAGAGAAAATGGGCAGAAAAGGGTATGAAACACGGTATGACAACGAAGGGAGAGTCAAATTTAGACGTGAGGGAGGCACGAACACGGTTTGCTCTGCGAGTGACAGTTCTGCCGAAGTCGACCAACGATGTGAACGGCATGTCAATTATCATCCATGATGTTATTTACATTCATATACCAAAAACAGCTAACTGATACACACGAAGCGAGCGGCACGCGCTAAACAGAAGTACATATTGCACCGGTTGACGGACTCCGAACCGTTCCTTCAAATCTACGTTCTTGAAGAAGGCCACAGTACCCGGACCCGAGCTCCCAACCTCGATTGCCACATGTGCCGCGCCACGTTGAGGACGTACGCCCAACCTCGTTTGAATACATAAACGACGAATAGGATGCCTCTATGTTTTGCAGATACGCATGCGTAAAATCGCCGGTTGCAATACACAAGACCTCGCCTGCCCAACATTGCTGCATACCACTACTCAGTTTCTTACAAAACAAACCACATAACTTTACGGAAAGATCCACCAGCAACCCACCACATACGGCTTGGGTCGCTGGTAGGCCTGCCGATAAAGTCACACTCTCTGTGGCAGAGTTTGACCATTGTGACTTGATATATTTGTACGCAGTATGCCCATCGCTTCTCAACGACCCCCCCTTCCTTTTTTAACGAAAAAAACCAACAATAACAAAAAAATAAAAAGGAGTTCGTCGTAGTCGGAACAACGCAGAGCTCCCTGGTTCGATAAGACGCGCTCCTCCGTAGCTGTGAGGTTTCGTCTCGCTGGGTGTCTTACTTTTTTGCTTTTGTGTTCACCTTTTGCATCTTGAATGGCTGTTTCAGTCTTTGTTGGCCGTCTTCCCTTCTACTGGAAAGAAACGTCGACGACAGCCTGCGAAACTAGTGCCGCGTCCTTAACATGAGCAAGTCCTTGGCCCCAAACTACCGCGGTGCATGTTCACACACCTGGCGCGGGATGTATTCACCGTGCAGGTTCTGCTCTTGGCTGTTTGGACTGCCTCGCTGACCGGTGTGCATCAGGATGCGCTCACCACGCGACGCGCTCATGTGGCCTGCCCTTGCCTACGCACTATTGTTATCACATTATGTTCCTACCCGCCTCAATTTTTATTAAAAATCTAACCCTTTTCTCCCCTGCTCATCTATACCAACAGTAGTTAAATTGCCGAATTTTTTACCTCTATACTTTGGTTCTAATCGTGAGGCTGGAGGCTCTGGACAGGATAGATTGTTCATATACCCTGTGTATGATTTTCGCCCTGTAGATAAAACACATCCACATGCAGGTTGCATGCACCTTACAGCCACCATACACAGCCAACCACTGGCAGCGCCAGCAGCAACCCTTTCCCCGCTTAAAGCCGCACCCCAGCAGCCGACTCCCCACAACATCGCCAATGCAGGCCACTCCACCAAGCACATGTGTGTGGTTGTCAATTGGTCACCCTCTTCTACTCCGCAACGTAGTAAAATACATGACCCTTCGCGGTAACTTAACACGAGGACAGCTAAGATACATTAGCCGCTCGTTCCGTGGTGCCGAAGTGCCACTCATAACCAACCCGTGCACTGAAGACATTAAATAATTCGTACATCTCATTAATATGTAGGACTGAAGGCCGGCACAGCTGTCCCTCTTTGGGGGTAAAAGCTGCAGAGTAGTTACGGCGTGCACCTGCCTCGGGTCATCGCGTTTAAAGTGCCCAGTAGGCCAGGCCCGCGTTCTCACAACACGCAAAGTGAAGGTACAGAATTACACAGCTCCCGGCAACCCCTCCGCTGGTCATTTTACTACCGGTCCTTATTTTACAGTCTGTCCTCTGCCCCGAGTCTTCTGTCACAAAGTTTCCACCGCCGTGACATAATGAGCTCGAGCTTCCTATCGCATCGAGACATGTTACACAGTCCCTGCTCTCCACTTACCTCGGACAATCCACAGTAGTTCCTCATACATCCATTTCACCACTGCTTGCGATGCCACAGTCCCCCCCCCCCCCCCAAGACGCCTAGCTACGTCCGCACAGGTCCACCCCAAGTTTCTCCCATATATTCATGCGCCGAAGCCATTTTTGCGAGGCCCAGCAGCGCGAAGGTACACCCACTATCGCGCACATCTGACCCACGATCCGGCCGGCTCCCACGAGTTTCATTGCTAAAGTTGTACTCCAGATTCCCCGCCTACGCCGCCGCGGCATGCCTTGGATATGCCATCGTTACATACGAGGTCTCCAAGCAGGCCGACCCTGCTCATGCCTACGTCGATTCGCGCCTAACCAAAGACCGAATGGCACTGCTTGATGCTTACGGTGGCCGCGATAGCCTCGAAGAGCTGGAAATGGCGGCCCGGGTTTATGAAGGACAACAAGGCCAAGGCCGTCGGTAAATGGCATTTCTTTGTTTGCGTATGGAGTTAATGAAGCATGACGGATATATCATGATTTTAATTTCAGTCTACAAAATAATTACATCACCTTTGCTTACCCACAGCTCACCGTGCAACTGTGTACCAGACTATGAGGGTCGACCTTGTATATGATGCGGAGTACGGTGCGGAGGTAAATGAGAGATACAGAACGGAAGAAGTTCATACACGCGGGGCCTGTAAGTATTATATCGGCGAGCCAATCCCAACGGTAGCCATGATAAAGAACAAACTCCGAGTGCTGGCTAGTCAAGGCGCTCCTAGATTAAAATCCTCCCAATACTCAGAATCTCCTAACGAGGTATTTATATTAAACAAGTAGCAGTCTAAACCTTGCCTCGTCAACGGTGCCGTGCGACGAGCCTTTGCGCATGGCTCCCGTCGTATTGACACCGTCTCCGGCCATGGCAATACAAGGGGAGTCAGCAATGCGATCTGTCAGCCCGGCGTCACATATGAGGCGATATGTCTCACAAAGAAACTTGGCCATGTCGTGTGGATCCCAAAAAAAAACTGGACAGGTGCTTGAGGGCTGATGTCCTTTGAAACGTGACCTTAGACGTCAAAACTGCTAGCATCAGAGAAGGGTTCGTAACACTGTGTCTGCAACATAGGTATCCGCCAACTTGAATATCTCCTCTCCGAACCAACTACAAAACTGTCCCCGCTGTCAACCAGGTCGCACAGCATCCTATGAAGCCCCTGCGATAGGCCTTTGAGTCTTGCGTACTCCGTCGCTGAAGACCACATCAAATTACACGTCAACCTGAACAAGTTTGGACTGAGCGATGATGAGCTATCAACCATATCGGTTGGTTCCGTCCGGTCTGTGACGAGGTCTGCAGTGACATTTAACTGCCTCAGTGGGTCCCTTTTTTTATAAAGAAATATGAACAAGTTAAGATACTGTTCGCACATACAGGCTTTGCAAGGAAACATTTGGTGGTCTTTAACTATGCTTAATAATAGACCTCGTTGAACCTGACTAAACACGCTTATCCAAAGGCCTTCAACATTTTGGTACAACCGAGAACAATGGCGTAGACAAAGAGTCGTCATTACAACAATTCCTGCAAAAGGCTCATATCCCATTGTTCGAGTTTCCCAGCCCTGCCATTCGCATTACTGCTCCCGTCACGCCTCACTCACCATGTCAGGCTATAGCCGCGAGATTCCATCACTAGCTTTTTCCTCGCACAAGACCCGTGCAAGGTTAGAACGAACTTTCTCTGCTAGTCGCATGCCTTCCTGTTCATCCAGGTCTGTTCTCTGGCCACGGCCGAACATGGTAAATCTTTCGCTCCATCGTCCTTGGCGCCGAATATCTGGCCGCGGGATGATATGGAAGTGCATATGGGGAACAATTTGAGCCGCTGCAGCGCCGTTGTTTTGAACTACATTCCAGTCATCAACGCCAACTGCACGCATAAGTGCCTTCGACATGATACGTAACCACCGACCAAGTTCTCTAGCTTCGGAATCATCAAGCGAGGTCAGCTTCTCGCGGTGCTTTCGAGGGCAAAGCAATAGATGACCCTCGGCCAAAGGCGCAATATCCAGAAAAGCTATCACAAGAGGTGTTGACAGCACAATATACGTTTCTGCATTTGGAGACGTCCTTGACGGGTTCAGAACAACACCAGTGCTTGGCGGTGGCTTTCGTGGATCAAAAGGGGTGTAGCATGCTGCAATATTGCAAAACGAGCAACTTTCGGCGTCTTGTGGTGGTTCGGTCGTGTATCCAAAAGTCATAGCGTCGGTTGAACCTTATCATAGTCACTGTGTGTCAGTTACCGCGTTGAAGGCAGGTAGGCACCGTGTGCTTGGTTGAGCTGTAGTATTGACTGGAGTAGAAAGTATGTCGTAATTACCCTTAAATATTATCTGTTTTCGCCGCCGACAGTGAACGTCGTCAAGTTGTGTAACGATTTAAGTTAATTTGGCTCGTAATAAACACTCGGGTCCCGTGCGCCTAAGCAAATATTATGTAACTCAACCACGGCCTCTGATTGGTTCACATTCCCGTTAGATAAAATGCCTTTTCGACACCTTTTCATCAGCAAACCTCACTAACGGAATCTCCAAAAGTATATCCAAAAACGTTACGATATGGCGCCTCGACACCCTCGTGTTTCTCTTTTTTTATCACGGTCGATATTTTTGCGCGAACGAATCGAATTCGAGAGCCCACGAATGCTTCGTTAACCACACTATCCACGATGGATGGTCTCGCCGAGTTCGAAAAAACAATTGCAATTGAGAAGGCAAACAGAGAAGATTTGAAACGCAAAGAACGAAAATACCGTCATCGTCATCGCCACGATCGTCATCACCGTCACCACCGAAGCGTGTCTTCGAGGAATCGCAACAATCGGGACACGACCAAGGACCACGGTCGTGACTCGTCTTCAGACAGCGACAAGCATATCAGAAGAGTGGAAAAAGGTAGTCATGGCGATCCCCGGCAAGTAGACCTGTATGACGACCGAAAACCTGTCGACAACGGCGGTCATCGAGAAAAGCGTCCACGAAACGAAGAAATACAAGTACTCGGCGCTAAGATTCAAGCGGATAATCCACCACCAGCGAGGGACTCGTGGATGACTGCTCCCTCGGGGGTGGGTATTGACTATGTCTACCGATCAGAAAAAGAAGTCCAGGTGCCGTCTACAAACAACACTTCCCGCCACGTAATTTCAGAGCGTGAACTGAACAGCTCGGCCTTACAACACGTCAACAACGGAAAACCGATCGACGAGCTGCGAGATCATATCCAGCGCGGAACTAAATACATATTCGGTGATGAAGGATCCCAGTGGCGAATGACAAAACTCAGAGGAGTGTACACGATATCTGAGAAGAGTGGTCGACCGATAGAGGAAGTAGCCGTTGACCGGTTTGGAAGTCTCCTTGAATTCGACGACGCACGCGAAGAGAGGGAGGAACTGGAGCGGAGGAGGCTCTACGGTAAAGACTACGCCCTCAAGGACAAGCCCACGGGTGATTTACATCGAAAGCGGACTGCACAACTAAACCAGGAACCGTTAAGACCAGAATATACCAGTTCCGACAGCGACGGCGACAACGGTGGCAGCAACCTTGAAAAAGGTACGAGTGGGACAAAGGCATCCAAACAGCAACTGCCTTATGCACCGACAGACCAGACGACACTTAACCGCCTACGTGCGGCTTTGATGAAGGCAAAACTACGAAAGGACCCGAATCTGTCAACGCTTCAGCTGGAATATGATGTTGCTGTGGCCGCGTTATCTTCAAAAACTGACAACGGGCAGGCCGTTGTGCTTGATGCATCTCACAGTCGCATGTTAGCGGGCACGCGGGCTGAAGTCAAGTCAATCGACACTAAACGTGGTAAAGAACGTGGGCTGGTTGAGGCCAACGACGATATAAACATTGAAGATATGATGCGTGAGGAACGGAGGACCCGAGGTGTGGCTGGTGGCGAAGCACTGCGACTGGCGGAGAGCATATCTAAAGACGCCAAATACGACAACGACCTCGAATACCTCGATGAGAATGCCGAAAAACTTGCGAGGAACACACACAAGTCAGAATCGAACCTGAAAAACATTGCCATCCATGAGTTCACTAAAATGAACAGGATTTTGGAAGCGTGCCCTCTCTGCCACCATGAAGATCGCAAACCGCCATACGACCTGCCTCTGGCACCTATCGTTTCTCTAGCCACTCGTTCTTTCCTCACAATCTCGACCGATCCGGAACTCACGGGTGCGGAGGGGGGTGCCGTCATTGTACCAACGGAACACCATATTAATCTTTTAGAATGTAACGACGACGAGTGGGAGGAAATCCGCAACTTTATGAAGTCCCTAACGCGGCTCTACCATGACCAAGGGCGAGATGTCATCTTTTACGAAAACGCAGCAGCTCCTCATCGTCGTATGCATGCGGCACTGGTAGCAGTCCCTATCCCTTACGAGCTCGGCGACACGGCCCCGGCGTTCTTCAGAGAGGCAATGTTAACCGCCGATGAGGAATGGAGCCAACACACGAAGATCATCGACACAGGGAAGCGCGCGCGAGAGGGCCTTGGCAAGTCGGCATTTCGGAAGAGTATTGCAAAGGAAATGCCTTACTTCCATGCCTGGTTTTCGATAGATGGGGGGCTTGGCCATGTAGTTGAGGATGGCGACCGGTGGCCTAAGGGAGACCTCTTTGCTAGAGAGATTATTGGCGGTATGCTGGATGTCGATTCAAGCGTCATCAAACGCCAGGGCCGTTGGACAAGGAACGACCCACGCTGCGATGACTTCAAGAGCCGATGGAGGAAATTTGACTGGACGAGAATTATACAGGGTGCTGCCTAAACTGAGGCAACAACGTTTCGTTTCAACAAAGCATATGCAGACACAGGTCGTACGCTATGATAGCACTCATTTGTTCTTTTTATGTCGTTTTTTTTTCTCCTGAAACAGCCGGTATTTAATCAAAGCGTTCCAACTATGTCTAATTCAGATATGGTAGCACGTCGACGTTATGCTAAGTACAGACAATGAATATGACTCCCAATAAATGTACCGGTTCTCTGGCCAATCAGAAGCCGTTATATACTTATATAATAATATTTGACCGGTCTGTTGCAAGTTTTGGGGGCCCCCACCGAGTTTCGTACATGTAATCAGGTTCCTTATCTGCTTATCGCAACAATACACAGTAAAAATAAGTGGCTCTCCTCGTAGTTTTTTTCTTGCCGCGCTGGAATAGTTTGAGCTCCAACAATATATCTTCACGTCTGGTTTACATACAGGGTGTTTCTTTTAAGCTCGCATATTTCTCCTCCTATCCCGAACTTACTGCTGTTAGACATCAATTTGACCTATGCGCCTACACCATGGCAAGGCGACGCACCAAGAAACGAACTCATGTTGCGCCTGCCAATCTTAACAAGTCGACAGCCCGCGTCGACACAGGAAATGGTTCTGTGCGCGACCCAAAGAGCATGGTCATCCGAATTGGGGCCGGAGAAGTAGGCTCGAGCGTCAGCCAACTCGTCTCGGATGTCCGCAAGGTTATGGAGCCCGGTACGGCCAGTCGTTTAAGAGAAAGGAGGGCGAACCGGCTGCGCGACTACGTGACCATGTGCGGCCCTCTTGGAGTTACTCAACTTCTATTATTTTCGCGCTCGGAGTCAGGTAATGTTAACCTGCGAGTCGCAGCTGCTCCTCGGGGTCCTACGCTGCACTTCCGAGTCGACCGCTATTCACTGAGCAAAGACGTCCAACGGGCACAAAAACACCCAAAGGGCGGTGGCAAGGAATACATTACACCTCCATTGGTACGTTCCCATTCTTTGTGCGGGACAGTGTCTGTTTTTCCTCTCCAGCTCGATGCATTAGCGATAGCACCATACTAACGAATTTTAGCTGGTAATGAATGGCTTCAATCTCGCAACCAACAGCGACGCCAAGGTTCCCAAGCACCTTGAATCACTCATTACAACTGTCTTCCAGTCTCTTTTCCCTCCCATAAACCCGCAAGCTACACCGTTAAAGTCAATGCGAAGAGTTCTCCTGCTGCAACGCGAGCAGCCCGATGGTGTTGCAGACTCGTTCGTTCTCAATTTTCGCCATTACGCCATCACTACGAAAACCACGGGTATATCAAAAGCCCTCAAGAGGCTGGATGCTGCTGAGAAGCTTGTGCACTCGAAGAAGACAAAGAAGGGTGGTCTTCCAAATCTTGGGAAGTTACAGGACATTGCAGACTACATGGCCGGTGGTGAAGACGGCGAAGGATATGTTACTGATGGGGCGACCAGCGGAAGTGAGGCCGAGACTGATGCAGAGGTTGAGGTCATAGACATAACAGCAAGTAAAGTACAGTCTCGAAAGGCCCGGGCATCTGTGGTAAGTTCTGACCACAACGAAGGTGACGATAGTCTTCTGGCAGATGAACCAGATGCAGACGTTGAAAAAAGGGCCGTTAAGTTGGTAGAGCTTGGCCCGCGCATGAAGCTCAGGTTGGTCAAGGTCGAGGAGGGAATGTGCCAAGGTCAGGTTATGTGGCATGAGCACATTCACAAATCGAAGCAGGAGATCAAAGAGCTCAAGGAACGTTGGGAACAACGGAAACGGGATAGAGAAGCCCGAACGAGACAACAGAAGGAGAACATTGCGAGGAAGAAGCAAGAAAAGGTCGGTGTAGGCAAAAGGCACGGCAAGGCCGGTGATGAAGATGCAGATAAGGACGACCTCGACAGTGATGCCTACGAAGAATTCGACAGCGAGGGCGTGGCGGGTGACGCGGAGATGGAGGCGAATGGACTGATGGGCGACGCTGGCGAATGGGAGGATGATAAAGAAGACATCGCCCGCAGATAGAACGAGCAGCTGTGGCAAGCACAGCAGTAAAGTACGGTGACTCCGGCATGTTGCCGATATATAACGGATATTACAGCTCTGGCTTTAGCTATTAGACCTGACTAGGGATTCTGGGTGGGAAAAAACACTGCGACTAATCTCAATAATGTGAATGCGTCGTATGTTTCTCAATTCTCCTCTCACTCGTGCGGAACTGATGGCTCCGAAACCCCGCCATCATGATTCCGGCAACATCATCCCATCAGCGCCAACAAGGGTGTCTCAAGAAATTAAGGACACGATAAAGGCAGAAATCGACGTGACAGCATACAAGGTGGTATGGGGGGATCTTGATATGGTGCGCATAACGTAAAACCCCCCGCACACCACCGCTGACTGATAATGTGTTATGTCTTAATGCTTGTTCATCGTCGTCAGTGAGTAAGTATCACATAGTCAAGGTAGGGTTGCACTCATTTACCAGCCTGAACGTCGGTATGCAGATCACCGGCTTGCAAAGTACACATTCTCGTACGCTTCATATATCACTGCCGTCTGGATCGCGCTGCAGTGTCCCTTGTGTAAAGGTGGGATAATAAACGTGGGACAAAAGTTTCCGGCGCAAGCATCGGATGGCTGGTGCAAAATTGGACCCCGTTTTCCCTCGGGCATCTATATATCTAGCTGCAGGAAGCCCGCTGAGGATAACACACCAGTACGTAGGCAGCTTCCAACCGATTCTTTTTCATCCTAACACTTCTACAAAGGAACTCCAGAGGATTTCAACAAGCTTTCGACATTAATATAAAACCACTAACCACCAGCAATCACTTTACCTAAGGGATTTGCATCGGTTACTTATGTGCAAGACCGCAAAATGGAAACTCACATGTCTCGCTCACCGCCGTCCGGCATACGCGTTATCGTTGTCGGGGCGGGCTTTGCAGGTATCGCCGCAGCCATTGAATGCGATCGCAAAGGCCATTCTGTCACGCTGCTCGAAAAGGCCCAGGACGTTGATGAGATTATGCGACTTGGTGATATTATCAGTTTTGACCCCAACGGATCAAAAGCATTTGAGCGCTGGCCAGGTGTGATCGAGGCCATGGAACGCATCGCCCGCCAAACAACATGGTTGGACTTATACCACTACGAAGGGAAGTTCGTTACACGCCAGTCGTTTGCTGGGGAGAAACCCTGGGGCCGGCGCATCAACGGACACCGTGGCGAATTGCACAACATTATTTACAAACACGCAAAATCGCGCGGAATTGACATCCGTCTTGGCCAGAGAGTCACGGACTACTTTGAAAACGACGAACAGGCTGGCGTGGTGTCGAACGGCCAACGCTTCACAGCCGATGTTGTCATAGCGGCCGAGGGTGTACGATCCCGGGGCAGAAAAATCGTCCTCGGCTCTGAAGATAGCCCCAAGTCTTCGGGGTATGCTGTGTATCGTGCGTGGTTCCCGGCCACTGACTTGGCCAAGAATCCAAAGACGCGACACCTCGTTTCAAATGGCGACACGCACCAGGGCTTCATTGGCCCCGATATCCATTTTCTCGCGTCGTCCCTTAAAAATGGTACAGAGTTCAACTGGGTCTTCACACATGTTGATGATGGTAACATCGAGGAAAGCTGGCAGTTTCCAGGAAAAGTGGATGAAGCGCTTGCTTACTTGAAGGGCTGGGCACCCCTTGTACACGAGATCGTTAAGACCACACCACCAGATCGGTTGATTGATCACAAGCTCGTGTACCGGAGCCCCCTACCTACCTTCATTTCGCCTAAGGCACGCATTGCACTCATCGGTGATGCCGCTCACCCTTTCCTCCCCACTTCTATACAAGGCGCCAGTCAATCTATTGAAGACGGGGTCGTTCTGGCCACAACGCTGGAACTAAGTGGGAAACACCGAGTGCCGCTGGGAGTCCGCGCATTTGAAAAACTTCGTTACGACCGAGTCCACCGTGCCCAGGCCACGGGACCAGCGACACGTGAGAGATGGCACCGAGCAAATTGGGACGAAGTTTGGATCCGCCCAGAGCTCATCCACCTTGCCCGTGAACCGTGGCTGCTACATTTTGATGCGGAGTTAGATGCGTATGAAAGATACAATGTCGTCGTTTCCAGCATGGAAATGACCAAAGCTCACATATAACCAAATCTATCATATCATGGAAATTCCAGAACCCAGGCACCGAGCACCACCTATTATTTGCAGCTACATGTCGAGAGTGTCGATTTCACTTGAGCGGCCGCATAATTATTTAGTTAAGAGTTTTGGCAGTTGAGTAGTATTTTATGTGGCTCCCAATAGGTGTACGGGCCCGTACAAATAAGAAAAATATTACATAATCTCAACACGGCTTCTGATTGGTCAATCCACCCGTACAAATAAAATAATAACGTAAGCATCGTTGAAGTTTTTGAATAACATCGCCAAAAACATCGTTAAAAGCATCGCTAAAAGCATCGCCAAAAGCTATGGCCTCCAACCCTCCTCCCGACCTCCTAATCGGAGAGCGTTGTAACACGGCGCCGGCGGTGTACACGAACCTCCCGTACATCGACAGTCCGTACACGGAGGCTCCGCACCAGGCAAGGGCGGGCCGCGGAGGCCATCGCAGCTGAAGCTCGCGCAGAGTATCAGACGGTAATGGCACATATAGAGCGTGTAGATGCAGGGCTACAGAATATACAGGAGAGGTGGCAGCCGCTGTAGTAGGGTATTACGTGGGCACATACTTTATTTAAAGTCTTTTTTTTTTCTATCGTGATGCAAAAGTTCAACAATGCTTACGTTATTATTTTATTTGTACGGGTGGATTGGCCAATCAGAAGCCGTGCTGAAATTATGTAATATTTTTTCTTATTTGTACGGGCCCGTACACCTATGGGGAGCCATTTTATGTTGGCCTGTAAACCGAATATTATGTAAGCCATACTACATGCTAACTACGAGTGGTTCTCTTGTCTTCTTATCGCTATCAAACAATACTGACGCCGCGGGGTCCTCTTTCCTGAAATTCGTCAGTCTTCGTCGCTCCGAAATCAACAGAACCTAAATTCTAAGTCTTCGAATGCATTCAAACATCTATAATATTCCTACTTTAACATACCACTCACACCCCATTTGACACAGCATGGCGCCGACAACCGGCTCTCAAAAACCCACGGCAATCGTCTGCGTTGGCATGGCAGGTAAGGACTTTGTCGGCAAGAAACTATATGGCTCTGTAAGGTATATACTAATGCAAACAAACAAAGGGTCCGGGAAAACAACATTCATGCAACGCATCAATGCACACCTGCATGGGAACCAGGAACCTCCATACGTTATCAACCTCGATCCTGCAGTTCTACATGTGCCGTTCGACAGCAACATCGACATTCGGGACAGTGTTAACTACAAGGAAGTCATGAAGCAGTATAACTTGGGTCCAAACGGAGGCATTTTGACTGCATTGAATCTTTTCTCCACAAAGGTCGATCAAATTTTGAATCTTCTAGAGAAGCGGACCTTACCGGAACCGGAACAGCCAGATAAAAGACCAGTGAAGCACGTCCTAGTCGATACACCTGGTCAAATCGAAGCATTTGTCTGGTCCGCATCCGGGACTATTCTCCTGGAATCTCTCGCCTCGTCATTCCCAACCATCATTGCCTATGTGATCGATACACCTCGGACTGCAAGCACCAGCACATTCATGAGCAATATGCTATACGCCTGCAGTATTCTTTACAAGACAAAGCTTCCCATGGTCCTCGTTTTCAATAAGACGGATATCAAAGACGCAAGTTTTGCGAAGGAGTGGATGACAGATTTCGATGCGTTCCAGGCAGCGTTACGCGAAGATGAGGCAAAAAATGCTTTTGGCGGCGCTGAGGGGGGAGAGAGCATCGGAGGCAGTGGGTATATGGGCAGCTTACTCAACAGCATGAGTATGATGTTAGAGGAATTTTACGCGCATCTTAGTGTCGTTGGTGTCAGCTCCATGACTGGGCAAGGTGTCGACCACTTCTTCGCCGCTGTTGAGACAAAAGCCGAGGAATTCATTCGCGATTATCAGCCAGAGCTGGAAAAACGAAGGCAGGACAGAGAAGATGAGAAAAAAGCGACCAGGCAGCGTGAGCTGGACAAAATGATGAAAGGGCTCAAAGTCGACCCCGGAAGCAACATTTCAAGTAACGACCGCGAGCTTGGTATAAAGGGGGTTGGGGATGGGGAGGATATTACCGGAGGCCTAGATGGTCAAAGTGAGGGAGGTGAGGATGATGACAGCGACGCCGATATCGACGATGACGATGCTGTTGATCCAGACGACGAATACGATCGTGAAGGTTTGCAATCGCGATATGAAGCCGCTCTATTGGACCAGGACCGTGTGGCAGATGCCGCCAGCTTCGCCAAATACTTACATACCCAGAGATAACCCTTTTGGTACGAAAATGTGTATTTTGTATGTAATATTTCCTTTATGAAACCGATTCCACGGTGTACCAAGCGGTTCTATGTCGTCTTAACTCCATGCTCCGAACATGACATAGGAATCATCAAACCCAACCACTTATCTCCACCCCGCTGGTACTGCTGTCTTCGGCGAATATCGATGGTGCCCTATCTATCTTGCTTCAAATTGGACCATTCTACGCGGAGACGGGGCGCGTTAGGTCCATATGTTATGATACTCAAGATCTGATGCGTTGGAAAGGGTTGACTTGCCTCTTCGTGCGTTGCTTGTACAGGACACGGCCACCACATTCCTTGCAGCGAATAGGATCCGTTCTCCGTAGAGTGTTCTTGATTCCACAGTCCGCGCACAGGTAATTCATCTGGGCACCTTCACCGCTCGATTCGAATGCTTTCGGGGCAGAAAAGCCTGCCGTCTCACTGTTTGTCGCTGGCACGACGTACTGTTCTCTTGATGTCATGGCTGGTGTCTATTTTTGGTGACCTAGTGATGTCGATATCTCGCCGTGTGTCCAGCTGGCTTGCAATAGGCAGTGTGTACAAAGAATTTATCCACTCGGTACGAATGTATTAGGTCGACAAAGTTTCGTTTCCTTACGACGATGGCGTTTGGCAGAATCGCTGTATTAGGACTAGTTTGCTGAGTAACGCTAAATTAAAGGCATTGTTTCTTACCGCCTTTACACATTCACGCCTTACATACAAGCTACAATGTTATGGCTGTGGTTGGATAGGTTTTCACGATATTGTTAGTTACTAGATTCTAGGGCGAAGGTAGGTGTGTATTGTAGCAAAGACTAATTCTCACCTTTTCTTTTTAAAATGATGAAGAGAGCCGTAGTATTTAATTAAGGAGAATGGCTTCTCTTTAAAATGTCGGGGCAGGGCCAAGGACAAGCCATCCCGTTGCACGTGACTTTGTAGAGTCACGTGGTTTACGGTCGAAGACTACGAATCGATTACGAAAGTCCCTACCAAAAGTATAGTCTCACCGTCTCAAGCCGAAAAAAAGGTAGAATATATTATTATACAGATTATTTTAAAATAAACAAAAATAAGACGTATATCATAATCGATTCGTAACCGAAAGCCACGAATCAGGTGACTAGGCTTACATAACAGGACGCGGTGTTACTAGTCCCCAACCATACGGTAACGTCACGTTAACTAAAGGCCTTTCTATTTAAATACTAAGACTCTCTTTTTCCTTTTAAAAAGAAAGGGTAAGAATTGGTCTTTATTATAATATATGATTACTTTCGTAATTAAACTACTGTTTTTTATTGGTTAATTTATTATAAAGATTTATTTTATAACTATTTATAATAATTTTAACTTTTTTTTTACGGATAGACTTTTACCATAGTCGGAAAAAAAATCAATAAACTTACTTTTCGTCGGGTTAAACCGAGTTACTTGTTTTATTTACGAGACTTTATAAGTTCTTTTTACGAAAACGTTAATATACTTTTTAAAAACTTTAATTTATGATTAACGGTTAAAGACTTAACCGAATTTTAAGTATTGAAGTAGTAATAATAATATTAATTAATAATAAAAAAGTAGTAAAATTAATGATATTATAAAAAAATCAAGTAAAATTAAATAATAAAAATAAAAAAATCGTTAAAAAAAGTTAACGGTATTAAAAAATAAGTTTTTTTAAACAAAAATTTAATTTTAAAAAATACGAAACGTTAATAAGTTTTTTAATAAAATGAAATTAAATTAAATTAAATTTACTGGTTTTTTATTTTACTTCGTTATTTTAAAAAAAAATTAATAAAATAATAATTTAAAAGGTATTAAAAAACGTAAAAAAGTTATAAATTAAAAGACTTAAAAATACGACTATTATTTAAAGTTTATAAGAATTATTTTACTTTTAAAATTTTAAAATTTTAAATCTTAAAAATAAAAATTAAAATTAAAGTTAAATAGTACAAAATGTAACGGACTAAGGGCCCGAGAGTGGTTAAACGGTACGTAAACCGGTGGCCAGACTACCGGACTTCTAATCAAGAGCCCGTAGGCCGGGGCGTGTGTGTAAAGGAATAGGTGCCTAGGGCCAAAATGGGGTGACCGTAGGTATGGCTCAGTGAAGGAAAAGAATATAGAAGATAAGAATTTAGGTATGCTTAAGTTCCCAAGACTTTCGCTTAGGCGACCATTCTACGATACGTGGCCGCCTACGAAAGGATTCTTATATATTCCTTTTAAGTGGAGAAGTTTACAGAGTTTTTACAGAGTTTTCTTAGTTCCGTCGCTCGTCGCCCTGAGGCGCGTCGGCGACAATAGAACTTGCCAGAATCTTCCTTTTCGCCTTATGTACGATCGGAACTCTGGTTAAGCTTTTAACCTTCCTCGGTTACTTGGGTAAGTTTGGTAGGCGATTACTTGCCGAATCTCTTTCTCCTTACAATTCGAAGGGGGTAAAAAATCCACTATTATAAAAATTAATAAAAACGTTAATAATAAAATTGTTTATAGTAAAAACCTTATTAATAAAAATAGTTAATAAAAACGTACGTTTCGAAAGGTAAGCTTCGGAGGCTTTATTATAAGCAACTGCACTGTGTTTTCGTTTATAATGGGCAACGTAATTCGAACTTTTAAAATTAATTAAAGCGTCGATTTTCGTATCATTACACCTAAATTAATTAATAAATAACCGTTAAAGTAATAAAAAGAAAATATAAAAACTTACTGTGTACAAATAACTTTTATTTGCCTGTCAGTACCCTCCGTAGAATGTGGGACAAGTTCTCATCGAATTAAACCACTTAAAACCATATAAATAGGGCTATTTAAATTGTTTAAAACGAAGTCTGGGTGGTTAGGAGGGATTTTAGGTGGTTTTTCACGTCTTCGAAAAGGTAAAGTAGGAGAAGAAGGTAAAAAAGGTTCTGTTAAAACCACGGATTCGTCGTCGTTAGTAGGCGTAAAACTAACGTCTGAATCCATTTTGTTAGTTTAACGCCGTCCCGGGCGTCGAAAAATAAATAAAAGAAAACAATAAATAAAAAGTAGTTAAAATAAAAAGGAATAAAGGAAAAAGAAAAAGAAAAGGTTAAAGATAAAAAAGAAAAACGAAAAATAAAAACGCCGTAAAGGTTTTATTCATATTAAAAGACTTCGTTAAAATCAGTAAAAAAACAGTGATTAAGATCAGACCAATTAAAAAATACACATAATATTTGGTTAAATTTTTTCGTTAACGAATAAAAAAATCTATACGTGGTATTATTCATAGATACTTTTTAATTATTTAAAATTTATTGTTTACTTTTTTTAAAAAAGGTATACGATACAATATATAATATATTACATATTTAATGTAACTAGGTTGAAATAAATAATTTTTATATAAATACCGTTAAGTTACCGATTTTTTATTAATTAACGAATAAATTTATTTAAACCTTATGTTTATTTTTTAAGTAGTTTAATTTTAATCTTTGGTTTTTTTACTAATTTTAACGAAGTCTTTTCATATAAATAAAACCTTTATAACGTTTTTATTATTCGTTTTTCGTTTTTCTTTTAACTTTTATTTATTTATCCTGTTCCGCGCAGACTCCCTTTACGGGAGTCTGGTATTACATTAAGTCACGCGTTACTTAGTAAAACCGTGTAACGGCTACTTAAAACCTTTTCTCCAACCTTTAGTTCAAGTAAATAGTTTACAGAATCAACAATCATTTATCACATATTATATCACACTATTATTCAAGACCTACGTAACAGTACTACCGGTATTCTTATTATAAGTGGTTGTGGGATAAGTCTTTACGATTGATTAGTTGATGAAAAGTACTGGTTTCGACGGCGAAGGTAGGTGTATATTATAATAGAGACTAATTCTTACCCCCTTCTTCCTTATAAGAAGAAAGGAGTCTTATTATTTAAAAAGAATGGTTTTTCGTAAGTGTGACGTTACCAGGGTTGGGAATTAGTATGTTAGTATTAGTATTTATACTAAAACGAATTTAGTATACTAAATACTAATTTAGTATTAGTATTATTAGTATTAGTATTTTAGTATTAGTATTTGAAAAATTAGTTTTAGTATTTTTAGTATACTAAATTAGTATTAGTATAAATACTAATACTAATTTTTTTTACTTAGTGAAAATTCGTTTATAATAAAAATAATACTTTATTTATATTATATAACGTATTTATTTTAAAAATTAAAAGTATTTATATAATTAAACGTCGTTGTTAAAACCGGTAATTATAATATTATTATAAAAAGTAATTACTTTTACTTCGTATAAAAATAACTTATTTAAAAAAGTAATTTTTTAAAGTGTTAAATTAGGACTTTTTAACACTTTTTATAAAATTAAAAAACCACTTTATTTAAATTACTTTATATACGTTAATAGCAACTATATAGTTTTTATACGGTTAATCGTTACTGTTAACGTTAGTAATAATAGTGTAATTATAAAAAAGTAACGACTTTTATTTCGTATAAAAATAATTTATTTTAAAAAGTAATATTTTAAAATTACAAATTACGACTTTTTAACACTTTTTAAAAAGTTAAAAAACCACTTTATTTAAACTACTTTATATATATTTATAGTAACTATATAGTTTCTATACAGTTAAACGTTACTTTTAGTACCGGTAATAATACTATTATTATAAAAAAGTAACTATTTTTATTTCGTATAAAAATAATTTATCTTAAAAAGTAATATTTTAAAATTACGAATTTAAACTTTTCATACTTTTTAAAAAAAAGGCTTATTAAAAAACCGGTATTTAATTTTTTAACTATTTACCTAGTTATCCTCATTAAATAAGGCATTATAACCACTAATGTCTGGTATTTTCCAATAACGTAATAACATGATTTCTTTAACCGTACTAGGTAAAAGTCGGTTTCTGTTTTTTGTTACCACGTTATTACTTACCGAAAAAACTCTCTCGATAACGGCCGAAGTAGCAGGAATAGCTAAATATCGTCTAGTTAAAACACTTAATACTGGATATTTAGACGAATTCGCCTTCCAGTAATCTAGTGGTTTAACCTAATAAGAAAACCATTAATAATTAATAAAAGGAAATTAAAAAAAGTAATAAAAACGTTAATAAATAAATAAAAACTTACTTCTTGAGCCTCACACTGCTCAGAAAGGTATAATTCGACTTCGTTTAAACGGTTAGACGTACGAATAAATAAATCGTCGTCACTATCACCGTTTTCGTTTACTTCTTCGTCTGTATTAGCTAATTCGTCGAAAGAGGTATTAAAATTAATATTATCACTAATATTAATTTTTATACTCCTTTTTAACCTATATAATAATTAATATAATTAAATAATAAAGTAATAAATAAGAAAATAATAAAATAATAGAAAACTTACAGAATATACTCTTCAAGTAATAAATCTGTTGCCGCTAATACAGACGAAGTATTACCAAACGAAAGGCGACCGTTAGTA